AGATTCTTCATCATAATGTCATGTTCTTCCTTGTTAGCATTTAGTTGTAAAATCTCAACACTAGAATCCTGTGTAATCTTAATACAGTGTAAACGACTTCCATCATTTACAACTTCTTGAGGTCTCAGTTTGTTACATGCATTGTCTGTCACAAAGCGAGTATAATACTCTAAGCGTTTCTAATTTTGCACCACCACGCAAATTCATTTTCAAATCATTTAGAATTCGTAGATTTCATGCACACTGCTTGCATTAGTGTTGTTAAGGTCACCCCTTTTCTTCTTTGTTTCTGACTTTCAACTGTCTTTCCTATACTTGTAAAAAGCAATCTGAATGACTGGAACATTTTTTGACATTTCACGAGCCTTTAACCCATTACTTCATATACACGCCTTTTAACGCCTTTTTCACCCCCATTTTGTTGTCTCAAATGGTGAAAACATGCATTATTTAGGCCCCAAACACTTGTTTTTGTTTGAGAAATGTTGTTAAAAAAAGTTACCGCTTTTTCGGCGCGGCCCCCAACCAAAAGATACATCAGGGGGTTGCCAGAAGGGGGACGTGCCCCCTTCTGTTTGGGGGGGGGGGTTGAAGGGGGGCGGAGTCCCCCTCATCGCCAAGAAAATTTTGGACTTGTGAGAGGCTATAAATGACCCCAGATTGATCATAAGGTAACGTGTAACCAACGCTGAAAAGCATTTGACTCTATCTCAATCCATTGAGAAGTTGCAGCACTTTGAAATCAATTATAATGGAACAAATCAACCCAAATTAGTGATTTTTGGCAATTTTGAGATGTCAACTCGTTGCAATGGTAACAGAAAATTTAAGCCTGAGCATGTTGTTGCAAGGGCAATGGTCCAGTCAACATTTGTGCCAAGTTTGATTAGTGTTGAAGCAGTTTTTATAGTATTATAGCTATTTGAACTTATAACGGGAGACTTTTCAATGAAAACAGCCATTTTTCACAAAATGCTCATGAAGTAATGGGTTAATGAAAAAAATAAAAAAATCTACAAAACAACAATTTTTCTTCAAATTCATATGACAGGCCATGTTTAAACATGGAAAAACGCGATTTAGAGTAATTTCAAGTATTTTCATCATTTTCTATTAATGAAAAAAATCAAAAAATCTACAAAACAACAATTTTTCTTCAAATTCATATGACAGGCCATGTTTAAACATGGAAAAACGCGATTTAGAGTAATTTCAAGTATTTTCATCATTTTCTATTAACCCATTACTTCATATACACGCCTTTTAACGCCTTTTTCACCCCCCACCTTTTTGTTGTGTCAAATGGTGAAAACATGCATTAATTAGGCCCTTAACACTTGTTTTTGTTTGAGAAATGTTGTTAAAAAAAGTGACCGCTTTTTCGGCGCGGCTCCCCAACCAAAAGATACATCAGGGGGATGCCTGAAGGGGGAGGTGCCCCCTTCTGTTTGGGTGGTTTGAAGGGGGGGCGGAGTCCCCCTCATCGCCAAGAAAATTTTGGACTTGTGAGAGGCTATAAATGACCCCAGATTGATCATAAGGTAACGTGTAACTAACGCTGAAAAGCATTTGACTCTATCTCAATCCATTGAGAAGTTGCAGCACTTTGAAATCAGTTATAATGGAAAAAAAATCAACGCAAAATAGTGATTTTTGGCAATTTTGAGATGTCAACTCGTTGCCATGGTAACAGAAAATTTAAGCCTGAGCATGTTGTTGCAAGGGGAATGGTCCAGTCAACATTTGTGCCCAGTTTGATTAGTGTTGAAGCAGTTTTTATAGTATTATAGCTATTTGAACTTGTAACGGGAGACTTTTCAATGAAAACAGCCATTTTTCACAAAATGCTCATGAAGTAATGGGTTAATGAAAAAAATAAAAAAATCTACAAAACAACAATTTTTCTTCAAATTTATTTGACAGGCCATGTTTAAACATGGAAAAACGCAATTTAGAGTAATTTCAAGTATTTTCATCATTTTCTGTTAACCCATTACTTCATATACACGCCTTTTAACGCCTTTTTGACCCCCCCCCCCTTTTTGTTGTCTCAAATGGTGAAAACATGCATTATTTAGGCCCTTAACACTTGTTTTTGTTTGAGAAATGTTGTTTAAAAAAGTGACCGCTTTTTCGGCGCGGCTCCCCAACCAAAAGATACATCAGGGGTGTGCCAGAAGGGGTATGTGCCCCCTTCTGTTTGGGGGGTTTGAAGGGGGGCGGAGTCCCCCTCATCGCCAAGAAAACTTTGGACTTGTGAGAGGCTATAAATGACCCTAGAAGTCAAAGTCAAATTTTCTCGTTTTGACCATCTTCTCATCGTCAGTAAACATACTCATGGACTCGTTTGTGTTCTCGAAAGCAAATGCACTCTCCTAAGGAACAGTTTTTATATGTGATGACAGCTAAAAGACGTTGAAACATTACTGCATTATTTATTAAATCAGTCTTCTTCTTCTGTGTTTTTCATCTAGTAGCAGACATAGTTTTTATGTTGCTTCTGGGCATAGGACTGTAGAAGTCTTTTTCAGGAGGCTTAGACCCATCACTTTTCTCAACAAGTCGTTCAAGGACAAAGGATTAAAACGTTTCACGACCTTTTCTGAAACAGTTCTTCATAGATTGCTCTACTTCTGCAGTGGCATGTGCTCCTGTGGCAAAGTTGATTAACTGCTCAGAAATTTTGTAAACCTCAACCTTATATTGGTTCCGTTGTCACAGAAATGTTTATTTTTTAACTTTGCCTGCTTGTGCTGCTTATACTATAATGAAATATTGCTTAATATCTTGAAGATTTAGGTCGTGCAGGAAACAAACGTGCCAATGTATTTTCTCTCAAAGTGAGTCAAAAATATCACCTGATCCTTTGATATCTTTGTTCTGTGTAGTTTCTAGTTTCTAGTGCATAATTCAGCCATACATTGTTAAATTTTCCAAATAAAACTTCGCTGTTTAAAAGTACAGTACGGTCAGAACAAAGGAATGACGTCATAGTAGTAATTTAATATAAAATAATGCACGAAAAATTAATATCTATTTCAATTCTAACACGTCAAGAAAAAATATAATTATTATTATAAAGTTGGACTTTATGTTTGGTGGTTAAATTTGTTTTCGCCTGAAAGTTTCCCATATAAACGTTCTTTAAAGGCTGTTCCAGTGGGTTGAAAAAGACTGTCGTTAAATCTACCGTATGTAGAAACATTTTTAGAATAACGAACTCTGAAAACGTTGATAAAACTTTGTTTGTTTATTTTATTTCACTCTATAATTTTTCAAGCGGAATACAAATTATTAAAAGTGAAATAAATGTAAAACTTTACTAGTTTGCGACATTCAAATAGCGTACTTGATTTGATTGTTTTGCACGTGCTGTTTGGCGCTACATTGTGACGTCACGTAAACAACACTTTAAAAGTATGTACAGCGTTAACGACTGAATTAAAGATATTGGTGTTCGGATTCATTTTCTTAGTTATACCATTTTCTTTCATTCTAGATAGCTTTCACAACAAAATTCGACAAAAAATTGTTTTTATTTATCAGATTTTTTAAACAAAATGGCGCCCTCAATGTGAAAATACACAGGGAGATAAAAAGAATGGCGAGTGCATTGATGTAGAATAATGCACGCTTCGGGCCTTCTTTGTTTAAATAGAAAAAAAAATCCGATAGTGTTAGAATGATCATTTGAGATATCAGCACCATCTGAGATATCACCACAGATAACGGAACTACACTTAACGAAACTTATAAGTACTCCAATTTCAAACTTGCAGGAAAACTCCGGTTTTCAAAATATATACCAAATCAATGTTGAAAATGTGTACTGACTCTACTTTCCGACTGCATGAAAGCATTTACTAAAATGATGAAACTATGATTAAAGTTTATACAGTATCGACTTAGACTAGTTATAGTAATTCTAACACAATATAATAAAAAATTGGTCGGAGTACTTATAAGTTTCGTTAAGTGTACGACCAGCTGAATGAAGTATTCTCTCAACCTGGCAATCCTTACAGTGTTAGGCTCTTCAGAATTTATGTCATCTAACGTTACAGGACGCTCAAACACTGCTTTTGGTCTTGTATTGTTTTTTATATGGAACTATTAGGCAAAGTCCACGAACGGGCAGTGATTGGCTATAAAATGCTTTGCGTTTGTATTTTGGTAGTCTAGGAATTTGGCTTGTCTCATATGTGGTACTACTGATCAGAATGCTTGTCATGGCATGTGTTGTCCGTTTTCCATCAACAGTTCGCTCTCTGATCCCAATTGACTGCTACTGTTAACACTAGCTGTCCCCTTGGTCTTTTGGAAGAATGTTGTCCGGAATAATACTTCAAGAGTCTGTTATCTTATGTGACGCAATATTTTGTTCAGCTTCTGCTGTTAAGAATACTCTGAGATCTGTATATGAAATAGAATATCCTAGAGAGATACATATCGATAAGGTGACGATTGCCAAACTCGTTATATAGGTGTATATCAAGGTCCAGATTCTTTGGCAATGGGTTTGATGTGACAAGCGTTATAAAGTCACAGGCAACATTTAGATCACAGCCAACATTTAGACATTTAATTTTAGTCCTTTTAGATGCTTTTCTGTAACATGTTTTGTCGTACAACCAGCACACTGCCTTGGAAAGAAGCTAATCAAACTCCTTTTGAATTCATAATTGTGTTTCATCTGGAGAGTGGATGTGGTCTTCCAATTTTGAATTATTCTCTATAACTCGCCTTCTCAATATACCTATTGCCTTATGCACTACACTTTCTTCAGTGACATTCTCTGCTCCTGGAAATTCATCATATTAAAAACACTCTTGGTCATGATGTAAAACCTGCTCCAATGTGTTTGATTCTCTTATTAAATTATTTATACTCAAACTAGATGAACATACAAGATCAGGTTTTCCATGCTGGTAAATAAAGGAAATTTCAAGCCATATTTTTTTCGAACAACTTTTTTTATAATTTTTATAAGATTTTGCATCTGAGCAATCATGAGCTTCGGCAATTTCACTGAAAGGAATTTTTAAATGTGGACCAAAAATATACATTTTTATCAAGCATTATCAAATCCTGAAATTCGTGCTTTACTTTTATTGCTTTTTTTGAGTATGAAATTGTTTGATCGTTTGAGTTGGCCTTATTTTGTGCATAATATTTAGTCAGATAACCCGTTTTTTCTATGATAGCGATCCTCAATGGCAGCAAGATCACCATTAGGTACACTAGTCACTCTACGTCATTGATTGCCCTTTTCACAAATTAAAGCCTCTTGATGTTTTGTCTCTCTGAAGGTTACACTTTTCGCCACATATAAAGTACTAAGATTTCCAATCAAAGTTAAGCTAGTGTACCTGGTACTTAAGGGTGCTCTAAGCAGAGAGTAATTCATGACTGAAATATAAACGAAAGGACATGACAACATCATATACATTATCAACTATCGTTCTAATCGTATATAAAAATACAGTATCATTCATGATAATGTTTTCATCCTTTTGTTCGCTTTTAACAATGTTTATAATTCTTTGATAAATACTTATGAACTTAGCAGACGACATAATACAATTATTGTATACCTCCAAGAAAATGTTACGTTACTTAAAATTATGGAAAAACATTAGAATTTATGCTTAAAGTTTTAAATCTAATAAAGCAACTTACCACGAAAGGCATCTGTAGTTGAATTCTAATAAAATATACTGAAATATTTTGACATTTACTGTATAATTTTTTTTCTATGTCGTATTTGTTTCAAAGGGAAGTAACTCTGTACTATATATATGGTTCTGAATTGAAATGATGATATTATTAATAATATCATCCTCATATTTCACAATTATTATAAATGTCTACACAGAAATGATATAAATAATAGATGTAAGTCTTTAAAGTAGCCAAACATTTTTTTTCAATATTTTGAAATTTCAATTAATTTATTATTTTCCCATCCACTTTAAATTATTACTTTTTCTCAAATTAATTATGAAATTCAAATTTTCAATAGTATAATTTGTATAAAGAAATGTTATTTTCCGTAAAATAAGCCATAACAAAACATTTAAAAATGTAATTACAAGTAAAACTAATAAAATAGCAAAAACATATGTTTGGGCTTTTTTTTGGACATCTTTTCTGTTTCTGACCTCTAATACTAGTTTAACACCGAAATTCAATACATGGATAGAAAAAATGAATATATGCAGTTTTTGTACTGCCAAATAATGAAATAAAAGTTACAAGGTTATAATCAGATTGCAGCGGCCATCTTGGACGTCATCTTGGATTTCTAAGTCCCCCATCACTTTTGTAAAAAGTGAAATCCCATTTCGTATGATAGAGATCCAGACAAACATTTTGATATACATGAAACTTCCTGTTTATGATCGGAGACGAGTGCTCCCCTAAATAAGCAAGTTGTTGGAGTCTAATTGCAGCACTTATAGGCTACTTCAAAATATCTCATTGGCAATAATATAATTTTCATAAGCTACTATACAATGCTCATTAGTTATTACAAAATATTTCATATATAATGTAACGTTTTACAAAAAATGATTAAATGTTTAGCATAAATTAAAGTTAAAAAGGCTACCACATAATGTTAAAAGGCTCCAATTTATTGTTTCATAGGCTACAATATAGTGTTCCATAAGTTACTTTAACGTATTCTAAAGGTTACTATTACTGTTTCATAGGCTACTATAATATGTTTTATAAACTGCGATACAATATTTCATCGGTTATTACAAAATGTTTCATAGGCTACAATATAATGTTTCAAAAACAAAAAAAATGTTTCGAATGCTACTATAAATATTTCCTTGGCTGCTATATAGATCCTCTCCGGAGCTATTAACTAACGTTTCATAGGCTATTGTAAACTTTTTCATAGAATGTCACTTTATGTCATTATATGCTTCAAGTTATAATATGTTTCAAACGCTGTAACAAAAAGTCCCCCTTGGCAAAATAAGATCTTTATAAGCTATCAATATAACTTTTTTCTTAGGCGTTTTCTTAGTGCTTGACTCACCAAAAGTTTCATATGCAAATATTTATTATATATACATAAGCTTTCACAAAAAAGTAAAAGGCTATCACTTATAAAATGTTCAAACGCTATCCAAAACGGTTTTAAACCCGGGAGGGCATTTACAAAAATTTGGGTTTTCCAAATGATTTTAAATATATTCAAAATGTTTTAATATAAAACTGAAATATAAAATTTTTATTGAAACATAGGAAAATTTTAAATTATAATTTTAAAGAAATTAAAATGCCTACATCACTGGTAATAGATCTAATTTACATCACGATGATTAAGATAAATTTTAATATTTTTTTAAAATTCCCAAAATTTTTAATTTTATCAAAAAAATTTTTGGGAAAATAAAATACAAAAAAATTAAAAGATTTTCTTTTTTTCTAATTCTACTGGGTTTGGGGGAACCTTTATTTGACGAAATTTTTCGTGGTTTTTTGTCTTTTAAGGGCACAGTGGTAAATTTCTTAAACCCAATTTTCAAATTTTTTGATAAAAGGTATCCGGACTTCGAGGTAGAATGCGAATCGAAAGTGTTATTGGCTATCAGGGACCTTACACGATAAGAGATAAGACCTTGGTTAGATGTAGGTTTTAAGTCTAACAATCCGTCACTATTTAAAACCAGGTTTTGTTCAGGAATTAAACTCCATCAAAGTAGCTAAGAAGTACTAATATTTCCCTGCCGTGTATTTAATAGAAACATGCCCTCGTTAGCAACATACCACTGAAGTATAGTATAACGTCCTGAGAATACTGATACATAAAGGTGTATCATATCATACAAAATTGTCTCCTAATGTAAAAAGGGAATAAAAAAAGAATAAGGTAATAGATAGTCCTTGATAAAGCATTTCAAAATACTATATAATTATATTCATAATTTATTTAAAAACTTACCTTTTTTGTGCAAAGTCAGATCATTTCCTTCCTTTACCCATTGTTGTTCAATATTTCTAAAAACATAAAATTCCTCCATATTTTCAACATATATTGATACATATTCGAGGTCCCAATCAGATAAGATATCATGCCATCGTCCACCATCATGTCCGATCTGTACACTTTGTATCTACAAAAATAATGAAAAAAGAAAAAAAAAAGAAAAAAAAGAATGAGACTTCCTTGATTACATCGGCACATTTTTATGTAGAACAAAAGTCTTGAAATTTGAGTTACGAAGAAAGTCGGTATATTTATCTATCAACCTTTAATAGCAATGTCTATAGGACTAAATTTATACATTTGCATTATATTAAGAAGAAACAATTACAAAGAATGAAACACTTTTGATCGGTTTCAACTTCAACTTTTTTTTAAAGAATATTCGTTCATTATATAAATATATAAATGCATTATATTTTTTCCACATAATAGGTCAATGTTATCCTTTGCTGATGTTTTGAAGAATTATATTTTATACTTTTAAACATATTAAACACATGTCAATCTTCCGTAGTACCGGATATATATTATAACACCATCACTACAGACCAAATATAGGACAAAACAGTAATGCTCTATCTTTTACCAATGTTTCCGACTAATTTGGTCTAGTTTATGTGAGATCCTGAGCACTATCTTATATACAACTGAGCTGAGCAGGTGTATAACATATTTACATACGTTACACAGTTGTTGTTTCAATTTGTGAGTTTAATATATACGAAAGTATTTTTAAATCAATTGAACTCACAGAAACTATCAAAACTAAGAAAGAGAAATCAATTTTATCATACAAATCAACAAGAACTAAAAAAGCACTTAACAACACTTTCACTGTAAGTTTAAATTTCTTTTATAAGTGATCACAATAATTGTGTTACTTACAGGTCCTATATCTCTCTCAACTTTTCCGATCTCGTCGACGTCACCAGATTCAAATTTTCCCACAAAGTATATTTTTTTTGTCATGTCTTTAGAGCCAAACAAAGTAATGTGAACCACGGCATCTGTACCGGCACCGATACGTTCTCCCGTTTTCGTACTGATAAGGTACCGTTTACCTTAATGCAAAGTAAAAGGAATTGCATTTTAATCCCTGAAGGTCATATATTAAAGTTATTAAACTACTACACATTGGATTTTTCTAAGATATAGCTATTTTACTGGTAGTCAGGATAACTGAATATTATTAAAATGTAAGAACGTTTGTATCACCAGGACATATATTGTACCCATTAAATAAATAGGAACACTGGTAGCACATCTATTTCTGGAATTGTATAATAACAATACATTTGATGACAAAAATACAATAATCTTGACAGGATATATTAATGAATAGCAATGGTATTAAGATTACATAACATCATATCTAATTGAAGCAGAAAAAATAATTATCACCGATACAAATTATAAGGTTTTAAATCTTAGAGGTGATAGTAGTACGAACTATTGATTATCCATTTATTTGATAAATTGCATGAATCACTTGGGACACTTATTTCAATGCAGCATTGCAATTATTTATCACCAAACATAATAATTTTAGTTACAAACATATTTTCCAGAAACCATAATTTGACATTAACTTTTGGTTCCATATTTTATCAAGGTATTTAAGGATTAAGGATTACCAACCCTAGTGAATCGTTAAAAAGGACAAATGCCGGATTGTATGGTGATAACCCGAAGCCTACTTTCGGTAGTTTTTGGATACCCATTTTTATTATTTTTTCCGTGATTTAAGAGGATGTTTCCGCTGTAACTCAGTATTTGATTTTATAATTTCAATATGCCGTGTTGTATGCATCTTGTAATAATATAAGTAAAGCACATGGCACATTACACAAGTAAATAAAGGGTTAAAACATATCTACTGTTATATTGATTAAATACATATACAGTAAATACATGTTGTGTCAATAATTTTATGTTCGATTTTGTAAACAGTTGTTTCAAAGACTGTTTCTGTTATATAACACATGTAAAATGAGTACATTATAAGAATAAGATGTTCCGGAAAAATACTGATTCAAGTATGCTATTTTAGTACAGTTGTAACCGTTGTGCAATTTGTTCATGCATACCATGCACCACTCCATTTTAGGGAAATATACATTCATATTACTTACATACAGGTATTTTGGACAAAAATGTTAAAACAGCAATTTTCAATCAATATGTTCCAAATACATTTATTTTATATAATGTAAAGACGTTACAGCAGAGTTAAACGCTAAAGAATAAAAAAAACCGCTTTGAAGATGTTCAGATGTATGTATATGTACATTTTACTATTACGTCTTTGAATTAACAAACCACAATTCACAATTCAATTAGCGGGTGTGTTTTATGTTGAGTAAGAAAATAATGACGTTCGTGTATAAAATTTGAATTTCAATAGATGTAATCCAGGGACACATATTATGTAAGACAAAAATATAATTCTAATTAGTACCTTCAACACAAGTTATTATATCTGACCATGATCCATCACTCTGGCACGTCATTCCCTGATCAGATGATAGAAAATGACCAGAATCACACATAAAAGTGCGAACTGTTTCGCCAATAGCAAAATAGGTTCTTTGAGTGATTAGAATCGCCATATCTTTATTTTCAGGAAGTCTACAGAAACCTATTCAAATGTAGTAAGTAAAGATTTAACTTATTATATTTGCGTCACAATGGAGACAAAATACAATATTCAAAATATAAAATCAGAGAAGCATGCAATGACATTAGAATTTATCATATTAGCCTTGCCGTATTCCTCTTCAATATAAACAAATTGTATTTATATATATTCAATCGATTTTATTGGAATATTTAATACTATCTCTTCATAACATTATTTCATATTTCCTTAATATTTACTTACTTTGTTCACAGTGAGTTCCAGTTTTACCCTCCGGGCATTTGCATTTTCGAGGACCAACACACTCGCCTTGATTAGCATAGCATTCATCGTCACATATAACTATGTTTTTATAATACAAGACAAATAACATTAGTAAACATTCTTGACATGTTAAGATATTTTATAAAATGAGTGACAAAGAGTCAGTCAAAATATAGACTTGAAAGATTGTTTCCATAATTATATAACTCATTAATTTAAAATGCAAAATATGAAAAAATATATTTCCATATGTGAACGATTTTGAAACAAAATAAACACCTTACGTTAGTAGAAAGGGCAGGAAAGTCGTTTAGAATTGAATTATGAGTATTTGATTTTCTATTTAAGAACTCGCTTTGTATTTGTGTTTTAAAAAACTTAGACTCAATGTGGTATCATAATCTAAAATGACAATTAATTGATATCATACACAAAAAACAAATACACAGCAGGATACATTAAACGTCAATATTTATATCTTTGTTTTACAAATGAATTATTGTTACCATTTTCACAACGTTTTCCAGATGTAAAATGCTTGCATGCACATTGATCGTCCCTCAAACAAACACCACCATTTTGACACACCGGTTCACAGTTTGCTAAAATTCATCACATTACGTTTTATAAATTATTCCATTATATAAAATCGATTGCATTTATAAATAGCAAATAAATGTTAAATATTGTATTGATATGTGTGTTATTTGGTTTGTCCTGGCCAAATACAGAAGCGTGTTCTGTAAATTTTACAGACTAACCTTGATCTTTGACCTACTGAGACTTAAATTAACAGGGTCATTTTCCGCTTCAAACAAGCCTCGTGATATTCAACTCATAGGAAGTAAAATGTCTTTACGTATAATACAAGAAAATCATTATTTGTTGTTTTTTTCAGTGCAAATGAAGCTCGAAGACAAAAGAAAACAATTTGTTTTTCAATTGATAAATGATTTCGACTACACGGATACATATACTTATTTGACATTATCCTTCTTGAAGCTAGGTATACATTAAATTTATCTATATAGTTGTCGTCTAATTCGAACAAGTTTCACAGTACACCCCCAATAATATATGTATAGGACAGTAGAATATGCTATTATACGATATCTGCATTTCATTATATAACGAATACTTACTTACCATATTATGTAAGATCTGACATCAGTAAACCAAAATGACGTTATTAAAAAACTATTGAAGGTATTTTTTCTGCAAGCATGCTAGAATGAAAATCAGTATCAAAGTTTCTTGCGCACTTGGAGCATGCGTTATTCTACAACAACGAAGTTAAATTGATATATGTTTCCTAAATACTATATGTTAAGTTCCTTAAATGCCAATAGATATAATTAGAAATAAAACTTATCAATCTTATTAATCAAGGAATGTGTTTACCTTTCCTGCATTTCGGAAAAGTCCCGTTATTTCCAAACTTCCACGATTTATCTCGTTCATCCTCAATCCACTCGCCGTTTATACACTTGAATCTTCTATTAACAGGTTCGTATATATCATCTCCTGCCTTTGAACAGTTGAAGTAAACAAAGTCCCCCACCTCAACAACAGAACCTCCAGAGAGACTGACACGATATCTGTCAGATATTGACAGAAGTGTGTCATAGTCGTATGGTACTTTACAACGATCTGCAAAAACAACGTAATGGAAAAAATCAAATACATTATTTAATTATCTTTGTTCTACAACAGTCGAAATGGTTGTATACGATAAAGCTTTAACCTTTACAATGAAATTTTGTTTAATGTGGCGGTTATACAACAAACGACAAATACCAAACATATTACCACCATCGTGCTGAAAATGATTATGTTTATCAAACTTATTGATTTGAGTATATACAAAACTTTAAACCTTTTATTCTTCAATTTAAACTCTTGTTTTAAAAGCAGCTACGGTATGCATTTCATTTTTACTAAAAGACACAGACACAGAACTCCTTTCAATGGTTCTTTATTGTCAAAATCTTAATGAGAAAAAAAAACTGTTTCGGTGAACTCGCACAACAATACACATAAAATGTACCTGGTATACATTTTGGTTCCTGACCTCCGATTACACTTTTTAATTTGCCGTCAATACAATTGCTCCTTTTTTCCTCTGGCTCAAAAATATCTAATGAGAATCCCTTATCACAGGACACAACGTAGTAGCTGTTTGATATACTTACATTTCCGTTATCAATCTGCAGACAGCTTTCACCTTTTGTCGCTAAAATACAAAAGAAAAATAATCCTAACAATTCGTTTTCTTCTTAAATAATGTTGTATGGAAATATACATAAAAGCCAAAAATAACAAACAACCAAATAGACAAGAAAACAAAAACAGACACACAATGTACATTATTTGTTTATGATTTAAACAAGTCATCATTATGGCTAAATCAATACAGTTTGTTTAAATGATCATTCAAAATTTTCGTATTCACAAAATAACAATAACACAATTATTTACTTTGATTCGGAAGCTATCACATTGATAAGCAAGCAAGTTTAATGAATTTACTGTGAGGCCTGCTAGTGCATAAATTTATGTAAGGTCTTCCATGTTCAGGTTATCTAAATTCATGCAAATTTACTTTATTATTGTAGTTAAGGAAGAAAATTAAAATAAAATACCTTTTTACTTTTCTGACTCACTAATTTATATAACAAAAATCATATTTACTGTTGAGACATACCATCAGGACATTCTTTTGTTATTTTTGTCATTGTATGATCATCCTTGCAAACAATTGTTATATCATCAGCAGTCGTATCATTATCATAGTAATCGTAGTCATACACTATGTATGAGTACATGTCAGTAAATCTACATTTCACCGTCAATGCATCCCCAGCAACAATCTGTTGAAATAAATAAGAAAATGTATTATATATTTATAAATGATATATTGAGAAATATTGTGAAATTAAATGATCATTTCAATTTTCGTATTTCACAATAAAAATCATTATTTTACTGTTCGGAATATATTTCCGTTATTTTACTGGGCTGCTTGCCGATATTTCTTTTAATTCTTCCAGTCACACTAAATTAGAATTTCTTTATTATGAAAAAAGGAAAAAATTAATAATAAAAGAAAATTTCTTACTTTTTGACTATAAATATACAAAAATATATTTTACTTTGGACATAAGGAATTCATTTTCATTGTAGGATATCCGCCGACTCAGTGTACAATATTTATGTAGTCATACCAGCTCGTATGAAGTAAATACATTCAGTCAATGATAAACGTTGAATAATGCCTAATATGTGTTTTGAAATTTTAAATGAAAGAAACTTTACTCAACACTAAGATATAATACATTATTGTTTTAAAAAAAACAAAACGTCTATATGTATAGAAATCCATGGCTGTCTGATATTGTTCTTTTTCAATTTATTTAACCATTTTGATAATATATAAGTTTACTTCGACTATATATGACTTGAAAACATATTCTTATTTAATAGGAATGCATCATATTAATCCACAGTTACAATATATGAAGCCATTCCGTCAGTGTATGAAACTGAATTAGCAATATATAAGTTGATTTCCTCAATATATGATTCCAATTCTTCAATATATTGTACCAAAGTAGCAGTGAATGGAACCAGATATCCTTATAGGAAACCGAATTTTCAATATATTAATTCATTTTTACAATATATGAAACCATTTCAGGCATGAATTGAACCAAAGTATCAATATATAAGTTGATTATCACATTATATGATACCAGGACTTAAATATATGGTACCAAAGTAGCAATGTATGGAACCAGATATCCTTATATGAAACCGAAATATAAATATATAAATTCATTTTTACAATATATGAAACCATTTTATCAATGTATGGAGCCGAAGTATCAATATATAAATTGGTAATCACATTATATGATACCAGATCGTCAATATATGGATCCAAGTAAGTCATGTATGGAACAAGATGCCCTTAAATGAAACCGAATTATCAATATATTAAATCAATTTTACAATATATGAAACAAGTGTATCAATGTATGTAACCGAAGTAGCAATATATGGAACCAAAATGTCATTATATTGACGGGACTTTTTTAAGGCTGTATTCTATCCTTGCACCGGTATTACAATTTCGCGCCAATATTCCGTGTTGAACTGTAAAAAGATCAGCGTGCCTCACTGATTGCATACTGCACATTTTCTTAATAAGGAAATATTTGAATTTAACGTCACATTCACTTACAATTTGCGGGGCAGCCAAAACTTATCGTTATATATGTACGAGTTGTATGTCATAATTTAAGCTATTGTGTCATACTGACCATTAACAAAAACATATTTAAAAAATTCATCTCGACCTTTACCTTTGATCAAAATTGGGCATGGCCAGTAAGACACGTCAAGGTTAATCTACTAACAAAGTTTAAAAATAATCAGTCAAATAATAATCGATTTCATAAAAAAGTGTATGCATTGTAATAACAGAACCCAGTGACTTCGGCCTTTGACTTGTTGACTTAAAAATAGGCTATTTTGGTACTATATAATGAAAATTGCTATCATAGAATGTAACATCAACTTATATACTGCTACTTTGGTTCCATACATTAATAAAATGGTTTCATATTTTGTAAAAATGACATAATATATTGAACATTCGGTTTCATATAAGGGCATCTGGTTCCATATATGGCTTCCTTGGTACCATATACTGAAGGACTGGTATCATATTATGTGATAACCAACTAATATATTGGTACTTCGGCTCCATACACTGATAAATTAGTTTCATATATTGTAAAAATGAATTTAATATATTGATAATTGATTTCATATCAGGACATCTGGTTTCTTATATGGCTATTTTGGTACCATATATTGAAGAATTGTTATCATTTAATGAAATAACCAACTCATATATTGCTTCTTTATATCTCTACAATGAACTTGTAACAGAAATAATGGTAACATTCGAACGTGTTTTCCAGTCTTCTTATGATTATGTCTTTTATTAAAAATTATAAACGCCTAAAACTAATTATTGACTTGATAATATGATATAACTTTGACTTTATTAAACGCACTCACATTATCTCCCGGTTTGATTTCATCTCCGTTCATGTCCCAAAACGTGTATCGTTCGTCCTCAGGAAGTTTGCATCCTGGATGTATAGAAACAAAACATAACAAGGTTTAATTTTACGTTGCATAAACAGAGAAGTGGCGACTTACAAACTTTCCCCGTGGCGGAAGATCTCAGGTTCCGCCCAGTGCATTATTTCCCGCACGATCGGGCAACTATGTAAATGTTATGATTCAAACCCAAACATGTGAGGGCTGCAACAAATTCAGCTGTGGACGATGTGGCAAAAAAACATGTTAAACGTATTAAAGGCTACAACCATTTTGAAAAGAAAATCTTGAATAAACACTATCCAACAATAACTTTATAGTACAAACCTTGTCAAAGTCCATGCATTAATTTGCTACGCCCTTTTGAAATAGTCTTTTCAAAGTTAAGATAAAAATCAATGTATACAAACATTTTTTTATTCTTCCTAACTGTTGATAATTAAAACAATTATATGGTTATAAAAGTCTACAAGAATAAATGTTATTTAAAGTGTTTTCACAATATGGTCAATAAAAGTTATATAAAATAGTAAAATAAAAACAATTATGAACGTCTTATTACGGCAGAATTCCCAAATGTTCAGTCTAAACTTACATGAATATTATTGACATTGGTTTATATAGCCAGTTACAACCCTAATCAACGAATTTATCAGAGCAACACTACAGTGGAATACAAATTTATATTTGGTTCTTTTGTACAGGTAGAAACAACCTCAGACACAGTTTTTCCCCAACATAAGGTTTTAATATGAGGTATTTTTGCACGCCTTCTTTGAATGAATTTATTTTAGTTCCTAAAAATCAAGTAAGAAATAATAAGTTGCTACATTTCTATATATTAACTTAATTTGAAAAGCATATGATAGTTATATATTTATAAAATGGCTGGCTGATTTTAACAGTGTGTCCCTTTTTTCGATTAATTGATAATACTAAAAGCCATACTTTTTCTGACAAAGATTTAAAGATTAAGGTGCATGGGTTCCTTAACAAACTGATTAACCATTACTACATGACAAATTGACTCAGTTTTTATTCCTCATAATTATATCATTATCTTTAAACTGCGAAACATGTTTGATTAACTTGATCAATACAGATCAAGGTCAGCCTACATATGCATTAAGTCTTATCTTAATCTACATTATTCATAACTTAGCACTAATTTATTTGTTTATCTATTTACTGATGATCAATTGTTACCGTACTATTCAAGAATAAATCCCAAGTCAGTTACAGCCAACAGTTTCAGTTTAATTTTGTTTTTGTTAGATGAAGTCAACACTGGAACGTATTGTTGCTAGTTGTATATACTTTTCATCTAGAAATATGTTTTGGCATCGCCAGTAATACTTTGCATCAATGAATTTCTTGGTTATGTATATTTAATATGCGAGAAAAAAGAATGAAACACTTGTTGTCGGTAAGAACGAAAAAACCTAGCTCCCGGGTCAAACTGTTAACCGTAAACTCAGCAGAGCATTTTCACCGACACAAAGAGTTACCTTCGAGTTAGACATTCTGGGCCTGCTAAGAATAATTGTCAGTATGAGGTGTGAAAGAAAACAACAACAAACAACAATGACAAAAATACGAGCATCCCTTAAGAACCCCCAAAATGGAAAACTTGAAAGTGTTACAAAGTAGGGTTAAGTTTCTATTAATTTTATTTTAGTTCTATTGTGTTGGAAGCTATAAGCTTATAGACACACTTTCGAATCCGTTCCTGAAACCCACTCATTAATGAGCAATGAGTGTAAAGTTCAAGAAAACAACGACATACCCTTACGGGGTTTAAACCAATGCGGCAAGGGATCATTAGATTACAAGTCCGACGCGTAAACCACTCGGCCACAGACAAGATTCAGCTAACGTCAGCACTTATAACACTGACATTTTTTATCGGTCATTAATATTCATTTGCTCCTTTTAAATTACATCACTGATATTCAATTTAGACACTGTAGTGTCCCATATGATTAAGACATATGGTTATTTATAAAATAAACCATGTTTGTATGTATGTATGTCCTTTAAAAGGAAATATTAACAATAAACATCGTGAACATTAAAACTATCCGAATTAATTTTTCTAAGAGAGTTGAAGGCGTCATTGAGAAAATAATATGACAATCGCACAATAAATATACTGGACTGACTTGTTAACGACCGTTAAATCATTATAATTATAACATTTTATATTTACTCAATTTAATTTTATTTTAGAATAGGCAAGTTATTAAAAGTTCAACAAGCATTTAACGGGACATATCTAAACTCGAATACAGCTTGCGCAATTATATTAGATTCGCCTGGCAGTTCGTCCAATATTGTTTTCAAGCTATATACTCGTTGTTAGCAACACATTTGAATGTAAACGTGATTGCAATTCAATATTTTACAAATTTCTTTTGTTACTGATTAAATAAAATTGGAAATGATATTGGGAAGTAAATAAATAACTTATACAACATCATAATTAATATGATCAATATTTGTATTTGAATATAGTCAAACATATTTTCAGAGCTAATCTAACACATATTTTAATTACTTATAAGAATGTCACAATTATAATTGCATTTGCAATCTCAAAAATCATACAATGTTAAATGTTATTAATTTTTCTTTAAAGCTCGTTTTTAATTCTATTTTATATCTGTTATTAAAAAGACACATATGCATATTTTCACAAAATACCTTTTAAACACGTGATTGCATCTGTCCATGTTCCATTATTCTGGCATGTCATTCCCTTATCGGATGATAAAAAATGTCCAGGACTACACGTGAAATCGCGAACTCTTTCGCCAATAGCATAATAGGTTCTTGGATTGTTTAACTTTGCCATATTTTCAGTTTCAGGAAGTCTACAGGAACCTATCATAAAGTGATAAATAAACATTTCAAATATTAATTTCCGTCCAAATAGAGAAAAGACAACATTATTTTATAAATACAAAACTTCCGAATAGTTTTTTTTTTCTATTTATTCATATTCTTAAAAGTTTATTAAATGTATCACAATTTCTGTCAACTCGTTAAAATCATACATGATAAAAGAATATCTAACATTATTTAGAAGTTTATTTCTCTCATTAAACCTCATCAAGGATGCTCAATTGCTTAACGTTACCATTTTATCATGAACTCATTGTGTAAATATGTATGAATCTTGCCTCGATGAAATGATGTTATGAAACTGAATATGAGTACATCTGACACAAAAAAAGAATAAACCTTCGACACATTCCACTTTTGGTTCTAGTGTTCCATTGTTGTTCCTGATATCTGAACATGATTCCTTATTAACTGGTACAATATCATCTTTTTCAACCTCAAAGCCACGACGGCAGCAGATTTTGTATGATTCATCGTGCAAAACTTTGCCTTTTTTCCATCCCCTCAAATACCCATTATTTGGAATATAAATATCTGCTTGTTCTAAGATAGAGGAATATTTATTATACAGTTTAAAGTATTAATGTGAACTTTTACATATGAAATAATTCCATCATAAAAGATACATGGTGCTGCAAAGCATTTGGGAAAAGATCACGACACATATTTGGACATTAAAGATAAAACGACATCACAATTCATTGATATTAAAAATATATATTCAAATTTGATAAACTGAGAATTTAAGATTATTTGTCAAATCTACTGACTGTAACACTTTGGAGGTGGGGGTTCCCATCGTAGATTATTTTCACACGTAGAATGCTGAACATTGCTTGGTATCATAGAGTAATTTTCGTCACAACTGAAATATAAACCAAATGTGTCTCGTACGGAGACGTCAATAATTAAACAAAATGGATATATTGTTTGACTCAAGACTTTTGGTGTTTTTATTCGACATACTGCATGTTTCATACTCATTTTTTCAACAAGTTAAAAAAAAACGAATTCGAATTATTTGAAAGCCGATCTTGAATAATCGTTCATTTGAAATCTAAAGTGTTCTAATTTACATTTAGCTGCGCACCGCGTATAATCAGACATTTTAAAAAACAACATCAAGCTGTTCACGATGATGAATTATAAAATATTTGAGACAGAAGTTGTTATTTTCAGAGCAACATATCAAAACCGATAACACGTTAAATAATGACCGCTACATAAATGATTATACGCCGCGTGCACACAGCGTCTAGTTGACGTGCATGCAATGTGCATTCAATGGGGGGGATTTAATCTTGCCTTTGTGTTTTTTGTTGTAGTCTGTTTTGTTTGTTTTGTTTTAAGAAAATCATACTGTTTAAAATTTTCTAATAAAAATATATGTTCTGATGTACAACATGTTACCGACCTACAAGGATTTAAAGTAAACGTTTAACTAAAGTGATAGTACCATGTTTGAATGTCAAATTCTTTTCATCATTTACTAATCAGTCAGTCTATATTCTAATGATGGGAACCAAATTCGGACAGGGAAGAATGGCCATGACAAATATACTTAAATAAATTCCAGGCCAATATGCAATCTTGTCTTTAATCAATTAATTTAATTTTTATAATTGAATAAACAACACGTAGTTAAAAATTGTTTATATTTAGGAATTTCATCAAAACTATTATTTGATATTACAGACTTATTTTTGCTATTTCTGTAATAACAGAACAGTTCGTCCTCAGAATCATTCGAACATTATGCAATTAGCTCCAATATTTAAATGTACATATTCTCGGCGCAACGGAGATACTTTTCTTTAGCTCTGTCTTTGTCTTATACTTATGTTAAATATACCAATCATTTGTATTTACTTGTTATTCAATTTAAATTGCTTCGACTAGACTTTTTAAACTTTGTCGCAACAGTCTAACATTTTAGACATGGCATAACTTTGTGAATATTCATGCATTAGGTTTTACTTTTTCACAAAAATATGCAACGAAATTAATAAACATCGATCACAAACCAAGAACATGAAGAAAAATCGATTAGTGCTTCGGATATTTAACTTTTATAGAAAACACCTATCAAGGTTGATTTTGTACATTTACTGTTGACATCATTTGGCGCCGTTTTTGATGTGTATCATGAACATATAACTTGTATATTTCTAATCAGAGTTTAGAATATGCAAGTGACACATGACAGCCAATTTATTTCTAAGAAGAAATAATGCTTTTTACACCTCTACGGATTCAGATGAAAAAAAATGGCAAATTATTATGAAAATTGGAGAAATTTATATGGATTTTATGAAAAACTGTATCAATGTATTTAGCACATTTTTATCTAAATTTCTAAGCAAGCCATACTGCTTTACTCTTCAAATGAAATAACTGATATACAAACCAGAAATATCTTAGTGATAAATATCAATCCGTTGTTTATTCACGTTACCTGTAAAATGCTTGCGAATAGAGATCCCTTTTGCCAAAGTATTCTACACTACCTCCATAAAAATCCTCTATCAAATTGCATTTTGGCACTGAAATGTGATACGCAAAACAATTTAACGTAGTTATCAATATAAGCTTTCCATAGATTTCTGAACGTGTACCAAGTTGTGAATAGATATCAAGCGATAAAGTTGACTACTTTCAGTACTTAATTTTGATATTCACGTCTAAGATCTTTCATATACACTATATAAATTACATTCAAAGCTATTGAAATTTACCTTCACAAATTGGTTCTTTGCCACTCCATTTTCCATCAGACTGACACGTTCTTTGAACTGTTTTAAGCTGTGTATTGCCGTTCAGGTAATAGTCTTTGAAATGTCAAAAAAAAAAAGAAAGATAGAGTTTCAATATAAAGTCACTGGGAAAGCGGCTGGTCCAAGAGTATTCATTAAGCGGAAACACTTTATATAGTCGCGGGAAAAGTTAAAAGTGTAAAATGAATAAAGAAGATTTACTAAAAAATTAAGGAACAGAAGGTTACAGTTCTTATGCACTGCACTTCTACTCAGTTAGATCTTTCTACCTACAAAAGTTTCACGTCTTTACCTTTTAAAGTTCTCCAGTAATGTTCCAGTGTAAAAATGAACAAGGGATGATTACTCCAAAATTTGGGATGGAAGTGTAACGGTTCTTACTCGTTGCACTTTTATTCAGTGAAATCAATGTTTTAAGTTGATACCTTTTATAGTTCTCAAGTTATGTTCCTAACTAAGATAAAAGTGTAAACATGAACAAATGGCAATAACTCCAACATTAGGTAAGGCAGAGTGACGGTTCTTTTGCACTGCACTTCTTCTCAGTAAAACATATCTATCTACAATGTTTAAAAGTTCTTAAGTTATGTTCCGATCTAAGTTAGAAGTGTAAAACTGAACAAACTCCAACATAAGGTAAGGCAGAGTTACAGTTCTTTGCACTGCACGTCTCAGTAAAATATATCTAAGTACAATGTTCAAGTTGATTCCTTTTATAATTCTCAAGTAATGTCCCGGAAAAATGTCCAACGCGTAAGAATTTGAAAGAGGTTATTACTCTTAGATTAGGGGAAGGAGGGAGGGTTATTGTTCTTATGTCCTTTTACTCATTCAGATGTATCTATTTACAAAAAATGAGGCTGATGTTTCCTGTACGTTCTTAGTTATTTCCAGGACAATAAATCTACAACGGACCGAGAGATCGTCCACAAACTTGTTAATGGGTCGGGTGGGGGTTGCGTTCATTGAACGCCGCCTTTCCTTATTTATCTTGTTTATCATATTGTAAAATTAGGAATTTTGAAGCATCTGCAGATGTGTTCATATGGCGATAATCATGGAACCTTAAATGTGACTCCATGAAAATTGGCATATGGTCCCGAAGTAAAATACTGCGTGTGCCCTACACGTGAAAAAACAGAGGGGGAAACTAAATAAAAATGAACTTTGAAAGGGGATCAGAGGTTATGAAGCCTGCATATCACAGATATGAAGTCAAAAGACAAATTTAAAAATCAGGTCACATATCCTTGGAGGTTGATTCAACAGTATTCAAGTGAGGAATACTAAAACCACCCAGCAAGAAAAAGCCGAATCGAATGAACTAAAATACCACAAGCACAACAATAATGTCGTGCAGAACGATCTTTAATGATCGGAAATATAACGTTTCTGGTTTAATGTACAGGGTGACTTTTTACAGCCTCCACACGGCACAAACAACGCTGATGTGACGATAGAATAGAGAGAAACAAGAATTTTGGGAAGTGAAAACTACCGTCCACGCCCCTTAGCACCGGCTTAAGCAGTGTTCAACATTTAACATGAACTGGTAAAAAATGGAATTGTGAAACATCAACAGAAATGTTCATTTGGTGGTTATCATGGAACCTTCAATGTGACACGTTAGTGCCATTCCATGAAATCGCCATATGAACACATCTGCTGATGTTTCAACATTCTAGATTTTACAAGTTCATGTTATATGTTGAAAAGTGCTTTACCCGGTGCTAGGGGGCATGGACGGTAACTTGCACTTACCAAAACCGTCGATGAACAGACTCAATCAAACCGAGCCTTCAACATTTCCAATTTCGCCGTGTTAGGCTTTTTTGAGGATTCTTTTTTTCTGTCTATTTTACCCAAATTATTTTCACTCTATTTTACCCAAATTAATAATGAAAAATGTAACGTTCCTTATATCACTTTTACAGACTTTTGTATTCGTCATGTGCTAAAATCGAGAACACAATTTACATATCTGTATTTTAAATCATAGTTTGGGTCCGTTCTGTTGAAAAGATGTCGGAGTTAATCGTTTTTATATATATGTACCTTGCGTTAACTGGAGTGCAGGTATTTGTTACCCGCACTCCAGGGCCTGCCCATTGATTGGCTCATTTTTGCTGGGATTTATTTCTTGTGACGGCAGAGAAAGGGAAAGGGACAGAAATATCATATTTAGATGCTCCTTCATTTGGTGTCATATTGTTACAACAGGGAAAGTGTTTTTATGTTTGACTATGATACAAACGAGAAAGAACATCAAAACACTCGGCAATCTGAATAATATTCGTGGGCTACGCCCCCTCGTTCAAATCAAATAGCCTCGTGTTCGATGCTCCTTCTATAACTTACAACATTTTATGAAAAAGAAAATTATTGATATTTCATTATTCACACTTATATCGTTTTTGTATCCAGAAATACGAGTCAAAGGCAAAAATTCAGAGGTTCTTACCCCGATCACAGGTGTAATCAGCAACGCTTTCATAGTTATTTGCAAGGCCATCACTTGTATCTTGGAAAATACTGCCATGCTGAATCTGAGGTAGAGCTGGACATAGTATTGCTAACAAAAGAAAATTAAAAGGTTTGAAAATATCTAAATACAACAAAAGTTTAAGTAATCAATAAATCAAACAATAAATAAATCAAACAATCAACTCGTAAATAAATCTATTAAATGTGTATCTGTAAAACTGGCTGATGATGCCACATGGAAAGTTAAAGCTGGACACATCATGAAATAATTGTTTGTATTCAAGCACCAAATACAAACAGAATGTGTTAAATCGATTGTGTTTCATAGCATTCCTTTCCTGTTTTGTATGTGATATCAAAAATGATGAAACTGAATGGACTGTTACAAATAAATCCTTTCAACAGTTTATCAACGGGTTCAAAGAAAGTCCGGTGGGGACATTTAAACTTCATAAAGTCCCGATATCATATTCAAGAAATTCCCGATTTAAAATTCACGAATTTGCGATTTTAACATCATGATTTCACGATTTCAAATTCACGCTTCCAACTTCATGAATATTCACGATTACAACTTTCCTAATTCAATTTCATGAATTCACGATTACAACTTCACATATTCACGACTTTATGAATGAAGTGGAAATTTGTATTTGTAAAGCTGAAATCGTGAATTCACGAAGTTGAACTCGTGAAGTTGAATTCGTGAAAATTTGGTAACCCGTTTATGGGCTAAAAATTTGTGAAAGGAACAAAAATTCTGTGTAAGCCTTTTGTATTGTAGTTATGTGGTGCTCAGTAAAATAAGATTAATTACAAGGGACTTTCGGGGTGATAATGGAAATGTCAACTTTTGAACTGTTGTTTTAAACCCTTGTCTGCGCTTTGAGTTGGTTTACCAGCCATCGGGTTGGCATTTCGGCTTTGATACCGAATGCTATGATAAATTCGTAAAATGTCACCCACTTTACAAACACAATGAAACTAGTTGGTTTTAAACATATTTATTTGAATTCGATTGCAAAACAAGTTCTTGCAAATTATATAAATCACTTTCGAGTCCGCTTCCTGAAACCAACCAGTATTGGTGTCATATGAAGAAACATGGTCGTGACCCGAGTAGGGCTCGGACACATAATCTCTGGGTTGAGAGGCAGACACCTTAACCACTAGGCCACCGCTCCACTTAAACTAATTTGGGGGCCTTTACCTTTAATTTATGAAACTTCTTATTATACATTCCAATGCGAAACAATGTTATTTTAATTTGCTTTTTTGTCACAAACATATTTACTAACCTTGACTTTATCATAAAGACACAAGATAAAAAATCCCATTAAAATAAACAAATGAAATATCAAACCTCATTTATAATAAGTTTATTATAAGTTAGTAATTTGGGAATTGTATACAGTCCTACTACTTACGGTCACAAGTAGGTCCCTGTGGCGGACTCCATTGACCATCTTTCCTGCACAGGATTGCGTCATGCCCTTTTAACTTATAACCGGTGTTACACTCAAATTTCATAACATCCCCTATAGCGTAAGTGGTATCAAGATGACGTCCATTATCGGGATGCGGTACCCATGGACATGTTATTTCTAAAAAATAAGAACAATCTTTCTTTTCTGCTAGTATGGGTTAAAGAGAGCATAACCGAGATCTCTTATAATTTATTATATTGTCGTTTTTGTTGTTGAAAGGATGCTATAAAAATGTATTTTTTACCTTTTAATAGGATAACGTGGTGAATAAAAGCAGAATGATGCAGGGTTACTTAGTTAGACGTGCTTTGAGATTACAAATGGGATTTTATCGATCAGTGCCAATTCTTCTTTTTTCACTTCAGTCAATATGTTCATGAAGAGCGTTGTAAAACTGCAACTTTAACATAAGAACGCCACAAGACACGAACACAATCAAAACAGCACTGACAGTCAATAGAAGTCAATGACAAGTGTCATGTTTGAAATTATCTTGTACCTGTTCCTACCCCGTGAGCATTATATGATTATCTATAAATAGAGCTGAGTAATATATAATAGATTATCTAAAGAGCTTAGTAATGATTGATAATTTATTAATATAATAAGGGATATAGTATATAATGTTGTTTTCCCTCTCTAGATTTAAGTTATATACTTGAGTGATACTGACAATATTTTATGTTTATAAATGTAATAAATAATCCTGCATATATTTTTCTTTAGAAGCGCCAAAATTACGAATTAAATAAATTTCGAGAAAAGATCCACATGTAAGACAATATTGTTTTTCACAAAGGAAATAATAATTCAAAAAATTAATATTTAATAAAAGTATGTACAATGAAGCAAAATTTCAAACTTCTACCCTGTAACCATCAAAATGAGAGCTATTTCTACAAATTTTGACATGTTATATGTAATTTTGTTATTTTTAATGGACAACGTATTGATCTTACACAAGCTGACGGCACACTTTTAACTGATTTATTAGTTTTATCACTAAAATACTCCTAGTTACCAACAAAATAGATAAACCAATGTGCACATGACAATACATTTACTAATTTAAACATCTTAAGTATCACATAGAAATAAGAATAAATCTTGATGCATTTCATGAAATTAACAAGGGAGAAAAAGCCTGACTGATTCTCCCTCAAATCAATTACTGTAGAAGAACATTGAAGAGTTGCCTCTCTTAGATTGGATTCATCAACTGTTATATACAAGATTGACTCGCAATCCGTTTAAATAAAAGCTTCATATTTTTAGGAAATCATACTTGTACTACTGCAATCTTATGTCAAAAAAGAAAAATAACACAATTTGTATGTAACGTGATTCTCATTATTCCGCTTTTCAATTTGTGTCACACAAAACACGAATACGTTGTGTTGTTTTTAATCTCATAACTGTAAAACGTTAGCAGCTGTTGAGAAATCGTTTTCAAATGCAGACTTTAAAATATTTTAACAAAAGTATTTTTTACGTACGCTTGCATGTAAAGCGAACGTCTGTCCATTTGGTATTTTTGCACCACCTTTCCATTGTTATACCTTCTATCGTGTATCCAAGCTCACAATCATACTCTACATTATCTCCTTCTTTAAACTTTTCTTTATTGGCGTATTCGTCTCTGAGTACTGCATTTTTCACCTGCTTCGGTTTTGCGCATTTTGCTTGTAATTTAAAATCATAAAATTCATTATTTAAATGTCTTCAAAAAGATCAAACAATGGTAAGTAAATGAGAGTGCCTATTATGTAAACCGTGTTTCATAATAGAGATTTTTTTTTTTCAAATGCGGAAATGCAATTGATAAGAAGTTACAAGATCGCCAGGAATCTTTTTGCTATGCAAAAACAGTGGTAAATGACAAATGGGTGAAACATAACCACATTTACCACTAAGTCGAGGAAGCCCCAAATATCTATAAAATTATAACAATGTATTGTTTGTTATGTAGATAAAATAATATGTGTACTATATGTAAACACAATTTTAGACATGACACTGTTGCTTCTATGTCCCGCTCATATTTTTTTCAAACAATTAATTATACGCACATATTTAGTAAACTATACCACCGGGTATATTCCAAAACGCAAGATTTTGAACGTAACACAGAGACGTAAAAATATCCCTGACAGCAATTGTATCGCTACATAAAATCGCTACATAAAGTCAAAGTGTACAAAGTTTCAAAACGAGATGTATATGAAATTGGAGGTGATACGCAAATTTTAACGTTGATAATTTCTTTTACGTAAATTCAAAGTAAAAAAAAGGGCATGCTTCTGCTGAAAAGATTGATACAGTGGCCTCCTTCTGTGGACCTATTAGGGACATTATGGTGAACAATTGTACAATGTTTCAAATCAAGATGTCAATGGACTTTTAAAATATTTGAGGCAATACACAAACTTTAACGTAAATTCTAAATCGAAAAAAGGGGCATAAATCTGTCAAATGATTGATAGAATTACCACCATCCATCTATGCCGAGAGCATTATCCTGAACAATTGTGCACAGTGCCAAAGTCATATGTATATTGACTTAAGAAATGTTTGAGGTGGTAGGCAAACCTTAACATATTTCGTTACGCCGACTCCAACAAAACAATATTAACCCCATGTATTTTACATAACAATCCGTATACAGGTCCTTCTTGACAATTACATGCTATTTCAGTATGTAACATCATATGCTGGATAAATACAATTTATTTTAAAGGTAATCAGCAATACCTTCTAATCTGTGGTTGGAAATTTGTTCATTTATCCATTTAATATACGCCGATACCTTCGTGTAGACACCAGGGGAATCCTTTTGACTACAGCCCTCACCCCAGGAAGTTATGCCAATCACCGTACTAAGACCGTTGATATTACAAATGAGAGGTCCTCCAGAGTCCCCCAGGCATGCATCAGCTGTGGTATCACCGGCACATATCACTTTTTCAAAATCAATGGAATATTTGTTGTAGTTACTTTGACAAACGTGACCTGGAATGATTGGTACCTCCACTGCCTTTAATTTGTCTGATATTTCGCCTGTGACAAAAATGAATTTTAATGTTGAAGTTAATGTCAAATTTTTGTAATCATTGTTATCAAAACAACTGATTCAAATTTCTTATTTTACTAATAATATTCCATTTTTGGTATTTTCACACATTTTGTATTTCATTTAAAAGCCAATATGCTGAACACGAGGCAACAATAATGCTGATATGCCTAACAACATACTTCTTTAAATAACAATAACAAGAAGACAAAATAAATAAATACCAAGGAAATTTTTCTTTCCCCAGCCGGACACTTCGCATTTTGTTTCAGATAGAAGCAGAGTCAAATCGTCTGGCAAACAAGCTGGCTGTATGAAGTCATTGAATACAATGCCACTGGTTGATTTTACTTTAAGCAATGCTATGTCGTTGTTATTGTATTTTCCGTTGAAATCTGCAATGAATTCTCCGAACTTATATAAACAATTTAAGCCCAGATTAAAGTCTTTATAAACATACTGGATATACAGCTGGCGTGAAGATTATCTACGATTAAGAAAATGAATTGCTTCATATTGGCTAAGAGTAACGATATAAACAAATACAGGCCACTGTTATATCAGTGTATGTCAATTGAATTTTCTTAACATGTCTAGACGAAAAACTATTTTCTATATAACAAGCTAAAATAAATATGTTTTTTGATACCATACAAATACATACCTGTGTAATTCCAGTGTCTCACAATATATTCAACTTCAAACATTTTTTCATATTCATCATGTTTCGTTAGATCATGGTCTCCAACAATAACCCGTATGTCCTTTATATTAAATTTACGACTCAAACCATCGTATGTCCGTACATAATCACTAAAATCAAAATAGTAAACATAACTCATTTACTTAAAGCGCTTACTGCTCTTTCTTTTGATATCTAAAGTATAACGTTTTATACATATTAAGTCTTATGTTTATGTCATAATATGACAATGTGAGCATTTGTCTAGATAATCTTTACCAAAATTTAGTCCATATCTCTGTCAAAAGTATGCAGTCAAATGGTTTTTGAAAATAAAGCAAAAATACAAGACTTTTATTTAAAGTGAATAAATTAAGATAACCAATATTGAGTATCATCTGATAGTATTATTCAGGCGAAGATGATCAAGTTCACCAAGATAAAAAGATTAAATGGAATGAATAATCATTATAAATCTTTGCATAAAAAAAATACTCAAAACAGTGTGCAGCACTCAGTATCCACTCTTTATTGATAATTGTACCACCACACCAATGTCGCATCCGTCCTCGTTTCTTTCTTTGAATATTCACTTGCCATGGATGCATACCCTTTTCTGTCTCCACGCCACCAATTACCCTTACATGTCGTTTCTTTCTCTTGGAATGGTGCAATTTAATTTTACCTTAAGATTACAATCACGAAAGAAATAAAATATTTCTCTAACCAGGAAACAAAATTCATTATACGAAGTACGAATAGCAGTTAATCCGATCAAGACCCTTTGTATCAATCGCGTCTAATAACGGATAAAATACCCGGCTGTTAGTCATTGAAATAACAAACTAACAATATTAAAAGAACATTACTATTTGTGTAATAATGTATTCAGATTTTTAAATTTCACGAAACTTTCAGAAACGATACGGAATAATTAACTTTCAGGCCTACACCATATTATATTTTATAACAAGAAACGTGTTAACAGATCAAAAAGCCCATAAAAGTTGTCACAGTAATATATGTACAAGCCTTTGACTTTTAAAAATCAACAAATATTAACATATATTATAATAAAAGTATTAAAGAAAGTTAGTTTTACAAGTTTTACCGTTTTTCTTTGTTTATTGTATTATTACGTAAATAACTGTAATCCAAATGAACCCGAATTCAATAATTTTAATCTTCCACTGATAATAACCTGCGCCCAAAGGACAGGTGTTTCGACTACTCGCAGAGGACGGGAATCGAGCATTTTAACTGCTAAGTTCGACCACTGGACCCAAATTCCAAGTATGCACATGTGGAATAAGCCACAAGTTTGGATATTTGCACACCAGGTACAACCTATTAGCATCCAGGAGCTGTATGCCATGTCAATTCAAGAGTGGACCGTGGTCCAGAAACCTCATAAGGATGATACGAAATCACTGCCAAGCACACGCTAAACATGCATGAGGTTGTGGCATTTTAATCAAATTTATTAAATATTATTGTTTACATTTTAAAAGAACCCGACAGTATTGTAATTATTGTCGAATAAATTCCCGCTTAAACATTTTGTGTGCTTAAGCAAAATTTAGTAGTTTAGTTTATATCTTTTCCTTAAATGACAAACTAAATGTTACACATGTAAGTTAAAACAATCATTCCATAAATGTGCACAATGGATAATTACTTATGGATACTTTTTCTATTCACGAGATTCCTTACCGCAAGTTATGTTCGTCGTTGCATTTATATGGTTGGAATATGAATCGTAGAAACATTTCACTGATACGACTTCTAAATATTCACAGTCATGATTACCCCAACCATTGTGTTTGCAATCAGCAAGAGAAAGTTCTTCGCCACTACATTGCACATTGTCAAGAAGAATAGGTAAAGATTCGTTAACTTCTTTAGCTTTTGGAAAGAAAGCCAAACCTTTCCTGGTAAAAACATATTCAACGGATTTATGTTTTGTTTCAACACTGGTAATTCACACACAATTTTTCTTTCATAATCAGGCGAATTAACTGAAAAGACGATTTCCCATTATTGTATAATAGTTACCAATAATTCATAGGCTTTAAATTTCCCATATATTACTTCATGTTTTATTATGCCCCCGCCATGTAATGGCCGGGGCATATAGTGTTACCCTGTTCAATCATTCCGTCCTTCCATCCTTCCGTCCTTCCGTCATTCTGTCATTCCGTCATCATCAGTTTCCGTTCATTTTCTTAAGAATGTTTGCACACTTTAATAAAAAAAAACAACTCAAATTTGACATATGGATATGTCATGAGAAAATACAGGTCAAGTTCGAATTTGGTCATGGTTCGATGATTTTTTGCAGAGTTATGCCCCTTTTACTTTGAAAATAATGTGAATTTCAGTTTCCGTTCATTATCTCCCCAAAGGTACAACACATTCAACTCAAACTTGACATAAGGATGCGTCAAAGGAATGCGCAGGTCAAGTTCAAATTTGGTCATGGTTCAATGATTTTTGGCAGACTTATGCCCCTTTCACTTTGCAAGTAATATGAAATTTTCAGTTTCCATTTATTATCTCCCCAATGGTACAACACATTCAACTCAAACTTAACATATGGATATTTTTTTGGAATGCCTAGGCCAAATGATTTTTGGCAGAGAAATGCCCCTTTCACTTTGAAAATAATATGAAATTTACAGTTTCTGTTCATTATCTACCCAAAAGTGTTACATATTCAACTTAAATTTGACATATGGATATGTCAAAGGAATGGACAGGTCAAGTTGGAATTTGGTCATGGTTTCATGAATTTTTGGCAGAGTTATGTCCCTTTCACTTTGAAAATAATATATAGAGGATATTTGTTTGTTTGTGTGTAAGATGAAATTTTATTTCATAGAGTGAGCTTTAAAAACAATATTCTCACGAGTGGCGTAGCCACGAGTGAGAATACTGTTTTTAAAGTTCACGAGATGAAATAAAATTACATCTTACACAACAAACAGACAAATTTTCTTTTTATTTTATGCTTAAAAACAAGTTAAAACGAAATTTCCATAATTTTAACGATAATATTAAAATCTGTTTCCCCAATTGAGAACCCCATTTAGACGGAATTTCTCATTTAAAACAAGAAGTCTTGAGCTGAAAAAAAGTCCGCCAATCAAGGTTAAATAACGGTGATATTTATTCATTTTATTAAAAAAATATGAATGATCGCTTGTTTTAATAATAAAAACAAACAATTCTTGCAGGAGAAAATTTCAACCATCCATCCATATTTCTGTTACTTACTGCGAATTTATATTAGACCTGGCTTTTTAAAATGTAAACGGCAGCCATTTTTTAAAGTTGTGTATTTCATTGGAGGAAAATAATTGTGTTATATTCAGAAGGATATAATTTGGATTTGTTAGTCATACACCTTTTTAAAAGAAAGAAAACTTATTTGAGGATTGTAACAGACAAAAAATAAGTGTTGACAGAAGTGAAAACATTCAGAAAAGGAGCTAGGAAAATGGAAAACTTTGAAGCTTGCTGAAGGAACGCTGGGCTGTTTTACTTATTTTACGAGTGATGGCTGACAATGCTTTTCAATTTTTCATAAAGCATACGGCAGTTATTGCTCGTAGGATACATTAATATGCCCAAATGTCATCAAGAGCAGTTTTGCATGGGGAAGGAATGTATTTTTCAGACTGTAAAAACGAAACAAAAAAATATAGAGACGAAATTTGGTGATTGGAATTTGAAGGAATAGAAGTAAGTTTTCTCTCTGTGTTACTTTTGACATTTAAGTTATTTATCTATTTCAGCTTTGCTATTTCTTTTAACAGCCTGACATTGTCAGAATTGTCCGTAAAAATAAAATTGAGGTACCACATGGGGAAAATCTTAAAAAAGTAGTTTCGTCATTGAAAAAAGTGAAATTATATTTTGATAATTTTCACTGTGAAATTATCAAATATAATTTTCACGGATAAATCAGTAATCCACTGAAAAGCATAAAATAAAGATACATCTTAGGAATAAGCAGTTAAAGTTTGAATTTGGTTGTGGTTCAATGATTTTAGACAAACTTATCTTTCCTGAATGTTGGAAAAAATTTGAACTTTCAGTTTCAGCACTCATACTTTTAGCCATTATTTTGGCTACAAATATGCAATATGCTATTTTTTAAAGGTTAAGACTGAATAATTTCAGTGCCTGGAACATTGTCTGAAAATGGTTTGTGTTAACATTGAAAAGTTTTAAGGGCTTTGAACTTAAAATGAAAAAAAAAAAAAAAAATTAATGCACCATCTGAAATTTTTGCTGCATGCGGGGGCATCCGTGGCATGATGACACATTTCTAGTTTTTTTATTGTCCCCCCATAAACAGACGCAATCAAAATGAGCCTGCAATGTGCAATTAATTCATCTTTTTCCAAATGTTATATATGTTATAAACTTTTACATTTATGTACAATAGAGAATCAATTAAATCAGCAAACATGTTAAAACAAACCACTCTCACAGTTATTCTCCAATTGTTCTTCAATTCCATTTCTCATCAGAAATATTATATAAAACTCGCATTTATAATTCATGCATTATTTGAATTTATTCTTTGTTCTTTCTAACCCATTACATTCAGTACACTATCAATTAGGATAAATAACAGTGCCATATGCTCCTTGTCCATATAGGAAAAAACTGATATAATGGCTGAGGGTTTACTATATATCATTTAAGCTGTTTTTTCTTTTTTACAGAGGTAAGAATATATCAATACATTCCCAGGAGAAAAAAATCATAGATTTATAAGAGGAAATTTATTCCAACAATTACGTAAATCTACTGCAAAATTTACAAACTATATCTCGCATTAAGTACCCAATTTCACATGACCTTAATTTGAAGGGTATACCCACAGTAAGAGTTATTACAACTTAAAGAAGAAAAATCATTACGATACCAAAAATTTAAAATGGGATTATATCAATTCAGAAAAAAGGTACCACTGAAAACAGAATACATTACACAGGACCCAATATAGTATAGTACTTAATTCATTTATTTACTTATTTATTTATTTATGAATAAATAAATAAATAAATAAATAAATAAATTAATTAATTAATTAATTTATTTATTTATTTATTTATTTATTTATTTATGAAAGCAAAACCAACTGAACGAGTGAAGTGAATTTCCTCCCTAACTGACTGATATATATAACTGTAAGGTAGCTTACCACAGCATTAGCTGGTTTTACTGTATTGTTTCAGGGGTTTAAATTTGAAACAATGAAGAAAGGCCACACGAGTGAGAAAAGCACAGAAATAGTCGATATTGTTTGTTACTTTCTCTCGCAAAGAAGTAATGAAATTGCGATATAAACAGTTATAATTATATATATACATTGTAATAATCGTTAGTAACGGAGATATAACACTGGCTAGGCGGCTTCTTGGGATGCATCTGAAAAAATATTTTCTTTCAGCAGAAACATCTCTCGATGCTGCTCCATTCAGTGTTATACTTTTGTTACTAACTCGTTTCACATACTATAACTGCTAACTGCTGCTAATTTTTTTATATTTTTAAAACAACCGTGCAGCAAGAAACGTGAACGATAAGCTTATCGTCTAAAACCTATAGATGGTGTTAACTTAAAATATTGCAATTGTTAATATGATTTAAAATGTGTCGTTGTGTATTGGATAATACAAAAATCGTATTAATGAAGAAAGTAAGAACCCAAAATATTGAAATAACTTTTCGGTAGTCACGCACAACTTATTCTAAAGTTATTCTATCAAATAGTTAATACTGACAGGCAAATACTGATGGTAAAATTATATTCTCCGGTATTAATTTGTAAACTTTCAAACGTGTAAACATAAGTATGCACTTGTAAGCAACTAATTAAATATAAACCAAGAGCAATGACAATAAAATCATGTCACTTAGCTTAAAGTAACACTCTATGCCCTTTATGCAAAACCTGTGATTAATTCTCCTGATAATTTTGAATAATCTGCATCATAAAAGGAAGATCAGTTTTCTTGTCTCCAATTCGCTATTATCTTGCAATATGTATTACCCAACCAAAGTTCCGTCATGTTTTAACATTTGACTGTAGAAAATTGTACAGTTGTTTATATTTAGGATTAAAAGGGATATTTTTAAAATTACTCCTGGGAATCCTGAAAATTTCTGCGGGATTATTTTTATCCAGAATATGTCCAAACCCTAGCGGGGACGAACACATACACGGGGATATAGACACTGAAATTTTAAATAAAATCAATATGGACTTTTAACTTTTATCCTCAACATTTTGATGGGATCCGGTTGATATGGAGATCTTAAGCATGCTTTCAGGGTCCAATGTTGTATTTTTAAATCATCACTTTTGAATAGACTTAATAAAACATAGTCTACAGTTTTCATATTATGTTGTTCCATTGTTTCTAAGGGGTCACTCGTTTTCAAGATTTTTATACATTGAATTCAATGTTTCTGATTTCCAAAAAGTAAGACTATTTCATAAAATATGCCCCTTTGTTATCGATTCTATTGTCAGCAGGCCCTTAAAAAGTATTATATCCACAATGAAGTCAGTGGTTTCGAAAAAAGTATGGTAGGCCAAACTGTTTCTGGTAAAAAAGTTTACCAGACAAACGCCTTTTTAAATATTGTTTCAAAAATAGAATTTCACACTATATTTGCCCTCCGTAATAAGGAGAATGAACCTCAATTCCCGTAGTTTTAAGATATTTCTTTTAATTCATTTTACAAACAATTACATTGACATTTTATAAAAATCAAGTTGTTATCCATTATTATTAATTACTATTCTATAGTCACAACCAATCGCATATTAACTAACTTTATAATTCAAAAAGAAACAAAATATGTCCAGAATCATCTAAGTGAACATCTCTATTGTATATTTATGGGGTGTAATTATATACTAATTTTCAAAATCGAAAACAAAACTTCTTCATTTTTTATATACTAAAATCTATGTTTCCATAATTATTATCTGAACATTGATATTATTTGATGACACACGAACAAACTGAGCATCTTCACACAAAGCTTTGGTAGAAATAAAGCGTGATTTTTAGATATCTAAGAAAATAAAATGTGCTTCTTTGAACATAATATGTGTTAACTTACGTATATCCGAGCATTTTACAAGCAACAGTTGCATCATTATCATCCCAGTCGTCATCACAGATATATCCATCATTTTCGCCATTTAATGTAACTTTAACAACACCTTCTGTTTCATCAGTCAACGAAATGTCTTAAATTCAAATATAGTTTTCATTATTGTGCCAATTTATATGAGACCTTCTGTTCCACCAGTCATATCAATATCTTTAAGTACTCATTTTGGTTTTATTTTTAATATTTTGCTTATGCATGTTTAATCTTACATGTATCATCAAACAATATAGGCTTTTTAGTACTAACGTCATGTTTATTTATAATAACAAATTGTGCATAAATTATTGCAAACAAGGACATGCTTTTCAAGCATAATTGTTATATGTAGTATAACGTATTGATGATTCTAACCGTCACGCCATTTTAGGAATCATTCCGAATATACTATATGCCTTATATAAAAATATCTCAGACCTCAAACATCATCATTAAAACTATAAAAAAACGTCCTTCGTCATAGTGAAATTGCTTATAAAAAAGCAAAAGAGAGACTTGGAAGAAAATTCGGAGGAAACCCAAGAATTGTGAATTACTTTTTAGACGAACAATATAAATACAAACGTATTATTCGAAATGCATTATCTGAATACCTTCTATTTTACGGAGAAATTATTCAGCATTGATTATACAATATGAAATAATTTCACACCTATTTATCAACACCAGGCTATTTGGCGCAGATCGATACGCTAACCGTTCGACTTGTGAACATTTTTCAACCGTCATGCGTGAAATTAGACAATCGTTGTAACTTTTATTAACCAAAATTAAAAAAAAATGCACCTTGTCCGTTTTTACGATTATTGCTTGAAGATGACAGCGGTAATTTTCATGAATTGTCTATATATGCATTTATCAAAACATCCAAAAATATTTGCTTCTTCTTCATTCATTGTAACGCTAAATAAGAGTCTTTACTCTAACCGAAATTACGAGAATTTAGCTGTAAATACCGCAGTGACAACACGGCCATTATAAAATGCAAGTATTTATGCCCCTTCAATAATAATAAAAAACATTTTTACGCATGCTTCATGAATATCTATTTTTCTCGATTAATTACTTGAAAAGAGTGTATAGTAAGCCGCAGTTTTGCTTTAATTTACCAAAGTGGAGTAGTTTTTGTCTATCACAATATTCGGATTTCGATCATTCGAGCCCATTGATTATTAAATATATTTTCAGTCCCCAGCAATTTGACTAATCGGGATTGGACTGTATTTAAAAAAAAACAGAATCGATAGAGAAATTAAATGAACGAATACTGAAGGAGGCATAATTCTGAACAATACTGATGGAAAGTTGGAAAAAAACCTAAGGATCAACAATCGTTCTTCTGTAACAGTAGCAAGAGAGAGTGTTATCAACATTAAACATGGGATTGTAAAGCAAAGCAATTTTCAGTAAAAGATAGATGGGCGGAAGCAAAATCTTTAAACTTGTGTTTTTCCTGTCTCGAGGACAATTATTCTGGAAGAACATGTTAAGAGCAAGAAAGTGCGAAACAAATGGTTGCTTGAAAATTTTCACAGACTGTAGCACTAGCCACATTTGTATCCTGAAGCGTATTGTTATGGCCTCACGAACATTAAAATTACACCCCCCAAAAGTAAAAAAAAATTTACTATGGGGCTAGACATTTTAAACCAAAATTTTTTACAAATTTTCATTTTTACACACAATTTTTTAAATGAAACACTTCTTTCCCTATCCATTTTCATAGTGTAATAAATTTGGCCCGAGATAATTAAATTTGCGCATTTTTTTTGGAGAGGGTTTAGAATTTAAAATAGAGGAAAACATAATCCCTAAAGAAAGTCCAACAAGACAAAATTGAAAATGTTGCAGGCTCGGTTTGCTTGAGCCTGTTCATGGACGGTAATGGAAAGTGCAAGTTACCGCCAACGCCCCCTAGCACCGGCTTAATCAGAATTCAACATTTAACACAAAAATTGTGAAATTTTGAATTTAGAAACATCCGCAGATGTGTTCATAAGTCATATTTAAATGAAGATGTTGCGAGCGTATGTGGAATTAGTTCAAAGTATGAGACTGTAGAAGAGAACACTTTGAATGGACAATATGCAAATCTTGACACATTGTGTGTGAATTTTAGGCTAGGCAGATAGAAACACTGAAATTAACATGGAAGCCCATACAACACAAAAAGTAACATGGAATTTAAGAACAGTAGACTGAGCATAGTATGTGATTAGTGGTAGCACTTCAAGCAAATCCATCAAAAGGACACAGCCAAAAAGTTGATAATTAAATCGGAAAAGATTATTTCGAATTAAACAGATCATTGAATGAAGTTAGTGGACAGAATGGGTCACCCTCAGCCAGAGTGACTTCTTTAGGTTGGACATGTGTCGGGCACGGTTGATAAATTAAAAAAAAAACAGATGGAAAACTAAATGCAAATAGTGATCTAAAAGCATGCTGTGGTGACATCATTAATAGTTTCGAAAAAAAGAAAAAATAAGAAAAAAGTTTAGAAAGGTTATATTTCTTAACTTTCGGAAAGAGAAATGAAAAAAATACTCAATGAACGTTTAAACATTTTAGGGTTATACGTCGTGATAAGTCAGATTTTAATGCCTCAGCAAAGCATAATTCGCTTTATATGAACGACGTGATTCATCAACTACTGAAATTGAATAGTATTGATCAGGTAGGAATGTCACCTGAAGATAAGTCTGTGAGATAGACCCTCTTAATATACTTCTTTTAGTTATTTTCTACTCTGATCTGGAGTCTGTAGAGATGTAGGTGTATTCATCTGGATTTGACTTCCAACTTAAGCCTAACGTTTAAACTGTTGGCAACTTACTATCTGACATGTTTACCTAGCAAGCTCTCATTTCTACAGATATTCAATTGAATACTTCTGTGGAATTAGATAGCCATTCCCAAAATTCACCTGCCTTTCCCCAACATCCACTCAATTTATAGTATAATGTAAATTTTTAGTACGAATATGGCATTGGGATGACAAAGTTTATAGTTTATAATTGCCATGAAAATACGAGTACATGTCGTACATGTCACGGTTGGACGAATTTGACATTGGCCAACTTATCGGGTAATATATTGGGTTACATATGAGTCCGTAAAGCAATAAGAAATTGTGAAAATTAGTGTGCTAAATGCAAACATAGCAAGGCACAAAGTTAAAAAACAGATTATCGGCGCATTGTCAGTTGAACGTTTTGGACAATCGATTCGAGCATTAACAAAATGCTGGGGACTACGCCGGCCCATTAATTACAAAACATGTCCATGGCAAACGAGACTTAAGCTTTATATTTGTGTTTTACATGTTTAACTGAGTTGTGCATCTTAAATTAGAATATAGCTTGGACTCTTTTCTTTCCTAAACCCCTTAAACATATTTATTAGCCGCAGAGGTGTACAAAGTGTTATTTTATTCGATAATGGGACAAAATGTGTCCGTTGTGTTAACAAATTCAAAGATCTGTACAAGAACCTTGATAAACATGCAATCGTGAAAAGTGCTGTTAATAGAAAAACATGAGGGAAATTTAATTCCACTAATTGCACCATATTTTGGCTATGATGAACTAAGAAAGTAATATATGTTTTTTCCGGAACGTGGACATCACAGATGTAGAATAAGTAACTTCAGTCGTTGAAACTGAGAAATTAATTGAGAGCAGACCTTACACGTATCAGACGTCAAGCCAAAAGGATAACACTGTGTTTACACCCAATCACTTCTTGACTGGCCGACATGCCGATATTATAGACAACGATCATTATGATGTAAAAGAAGCGTTGGCAGTATGTCCAGGAACACCTACGTTTTTACTGGAAGCGTTGGCTAAGAGAATATTTGCCATCTCTTGGATCTCGAGCTAAGTGGTTTCAAACTTCATGCGACTTTAAAGCCAAATTATATTGTTTTAATATTTGACAAAGATACAACGTTTAAGAGGCAAAGTGTTAACTCTAGAGCCCTCTCATGAAAATATCTGTGTTTCAAAATAAAACCTATATACAAATTTCAAAAGAAATACTCAAAAAAATGGTGCTGACTTGCTCAAATTTTAAAAACCAGGGAATGATAATAAAAAAAGAAATTTTTTAAGTTTTAAGATGCTGATTTAGTTGACAATGTATCTATTGCATATTTCAAAGCTATAGCAAAGTTAAATGGAACTGGTGGAAACTGATGCTTATAAAAATGTTGTTGCTCGAATCTTATAATGTATAAAAACAGTTTTACATTTCTGTTGTTTTAGAACGGTTTTTTACTGCTTGCATAATCAGTAGCCTGTTACAGTCAGAGAATGTAATGTTTTAATAACCATGATTTCATGTCATTTGCGTTTGTGTTTAAGAATGCAATCAAGTGAATCATGTGTTGAATAAAAAGATAGATTCCGCTTGATCTTTCCTTCTGAGAAAGGCGTGTCCATACAAATACATATGCATCCCAATTTTTGTACTTTTGACAAACATGTAATTTATACTTAGAATTAGTGCATAACTATACAATTCATTTACAATTGTTTTGACTCAGTTATGTCGTCCGTAGCTGGGTGGTTAAGATCGCTGACCTCAAATCACTAGCCCGTTAAAAACAATTTATGGAAGTTCACCTAAGTGAAGCCGGAAAGTCGCCATATAACATACTGGATATAATGTATTGGCGCGACGTAAAAAAAACACGAAAAAAAAACAAAAAAAAAAACAAGAAAAAATAATAATTATGAAATTGTTATTACACGTTATTCATTGCTCCTATTGGACTTTTAACGAGCTGTTTGCAAATTACTTTCTTTATATCAGAGTGATTAAATTTGTCAACTAGTTTAAAATCATTGATTTAAATAGGGTAATGTTTATATTGCTGGAATTTACCACTGAACAAACATATTTCATCAAATTTTGAGTTTATTTAAAATCACACTGCATTTATTGTGGTTTCGAACAAGATTTGGCTTGATTTATGGCAATATGTATTATAAAGGAATAATTTTAGACTGTTGGCATTTCAGAAGGCAACGATTTACAAATGTATTAAAGAAATCTTACTGAGTGTAACTGGACATTCTGCGATAGATATTTCTTTCCAGTCACCATCTTCACATCTTAACTGAAAATGTGATGTACACTCCCAGTTGGTTGAAACAAGATTTAAAACTGTCTTGTCAGGAAACGATGTACGGTTTATACTGACTGTGGAGTTTTTATCTTTTCCCATAACATCAATCAAGTATGTATTAACAGTTGGTCTGCGACACTCCCCTGAAATTTATGTACATTTATGTAGTTAATTGTTGTGATGAAACAATCATAACGTTTACTTTCGTATTAAACGGTAAAAGTGAAGTTTGTGTTTATTAATTTATGAAGAAGTGGTGAGAATTGATCACTCTTTTTTACATTTATTTGTTGCCTTATCTCCTCCCTCGGTAACGTTTTAATAAAAACAGATATTCGACCAAAGCGTGTAAAGGTTTGCACTACAAATATATACCATAACGGGGCTAGCAATAATTCTGAATCATTGTTGGTCTCTTTCTCAAATAAGTAATGATTTATACATGCGGAAAACCTGTTTTATTGCAAAGTTTAACTGGTGTGTCATCGGAATTTCCTTTACAGTAACATTTGCAATTTTTTCCAACAAATCCAGCTTCAGGACATTCAATTGTAGGGCACAAATCTATAAATATAATATACTTCACGTTTTATAACATCTAATAGTTAGTCAATTTTATACAAATATAACAAACTTTCTTGTACCGTCTCAATCTCAAAATGGACATCTTTTTTATGGACATCATTCAGCAGTGTTTGAAGTAATAAAAAATATGAATCACATATGATTTTAGATTTACGAATAGACATCCGTGTTTAAATTTGTAAGAATGTATAGTCCTAAGCTGTGTTTAAGGTTTAACGGAAAAGTCAGCCAAAACCTTTCTCACTTCATGTACAAACATGATACAATTCAATAAAGAATGCATTTACAATTTTGAAATAAATGTTCGTCACTGGAAGAAAGTGCATAAATGTACATTTTTATATGTGTACAACGTTTAATTAGTAAATGCAAACATTTTTCTCTCCTTTGTTTGTAGAAAGCCAGATTGATTTATATTCCAGAAAAGCCAATGTAGATGACTTCATATTCAGTCAAAACTGCACGTACTTACCTGCACATTTAAACATAACATTCAAAGTTTTATAATCGTGAAAACTCGGTTGTTTGGCCATTCCTATTTTAGATTGAAACGTATCATTCTTTGTTTCTATTGTGATAAGGTTTGCTGATTCATTCCTCGAGAAAAACTGAAAACAGATAATTGATAATTAAATACAAACATCTTAATCAAAAAAGCAATAACATTTTATATTACCTATACATATACATTATCATACTTCGTGTAAAACATTTTATAACGAACAAAGATCATTATTTATAATCACATTAAGAACGTCATTGTGCATTCAAAATTTGATTATAAATGAATATTGTATTATGCTGATAAGTAATGCGTTCCTGACAGTATATAACTATCCTTTAAGCCATGTATTTACTTAAACATATAAACATTTCACACTTTTAGAAAGCAATTTTCTTATCATAAAACATGCTTCTGACTTTATTTTTGTTTGGTGTTACAAAAGGGGTGTTAACATGATTTTCTTGGACCCGAGTTAACTGTAGAAAACCTGTCAGATACGCAAAAATGTTTTAAGCGACAGTATTATAAATACATGTTATACAAACGGACAAACAATATAACGCTACAATAAAAAAAATTTATATAACGAACAAAATACAATTGATTATTTTTAAAGGATAATTCCAAAAACAAACTAAATTATTTTTATCATGAAGAACAAATCAAAAAGTGTTTTCACTGCAAAACAACAACAACAAAAGGCAGTATTTAAATATTACGAGTCACACGTAGCATGAACATTTTATTCATGTATTTTATATGTTTGTTTTGCAATGAAACGTTAATACTAACATATTGTCCGTAGTGCATAATACTCAAATAATCATAATTAGTGTCGACAACTGCATTTTCTTGTTTCTGAAAACTTTGATTTTTTCCGGGTTCAATATTTTCATAGTGTATTTTAATGTAGTCATCCCTATCCCAACGGTTATGTTCATGGTAAAATCCCAAGGCATGTCCTATTTCATGAAGAATTATCTCTGTCTGAAATGAATATTTTAATATCATAGAAATGTATCTTATAAGCACATATGATACATTTGTATTACTGAACATTAAACAATGTTCACTTCAAAAATTGAGATGCATTTACAATAATATTTCACTAATTAAAATTAAGTAACATTTGATGCCAGTGTTTACTTGTCACTCCCACAATATAAATACATTTGTGACAGTGCTAACTATTCATTCCAACAATTATGTATGAAAATCAACATTTAATTAAAATCGAAAGTAAATTTTGCGTTCCGACCAAGTAATACGAGAAGAGTTCCTGGCTCTGCTTCGAACGCTTGTCAAGCTGGTACACAAACGGTGTGCATGCTTTCGACAACTCGAGCTTACTATCGTCAGCTATCTGCAAGCGCTCGTTTAAAAGACATTTAATTTGTAATAAAACTATAACCAAGATGACCAGTGTGTTGTTTCCCTCACTACCTATTCTATATAATGTACAATATAAATATTTTAATTTGGCGGTTATATTGGGTCCCCAGAAAGTAGCGATTTGGATACAAGTTTAGTCGTGAGAGAATTATAGTGTTGGGTCCCGGACCAAAAAGCGAAACAAGAGGGCAAACATATGCCAGGCTCAAGTCGCGTATTAGTTGGGCTGTTTACATTTTGGAGTCTGCAATCTTTACTTTATTGACTTGGTATACGATATTTTGTATATATACAAAAATTGTTTGAAGAGGTAAATTTAATCGGCAAGCATATCATTTACTTTCACATATCAGTAATATTTCATAAACGAAATCATGGCACAATGCATAAATAGGCTTAAAAATCATGACTATATGCAAACAATTTTATAAATGTTAACTTAAATTTCCCAATTGGTTTTGGAGATGGAGGGTGGACAAAGTTAATAGATTAAAAAATAAGAATACTTTTCACAACTAGACTTAGTGACAAAAATTGCACTGAACTCTCCACCCCCTCCCCTAGTGGCCTAAGAGATAAAGCGCTTACAATCTTACTAAACCCGTAAATTGATCAGATGGTTTATAACTATGCCCAAAAGATTCAAGTAGAAAATAAAGATACTATGCACACATAGGCGGGAAATACTTTGAACATTCACTTAAATTTCCCCATTCCCCAGCTATAGGAAATAAAGCGTGGACAAGCTTGTAAACGGACCATTAAGGTGGAAAAGCTTATAACTCACTCATAAATGACCATTAATTTTCCATAACTGTACCAAAAATAATTAAGGAAACTATGTGCAACTAGGTATGGTGACAATCTTGTGAAGTTTATTTGAAATCCACCTAGTGGGTATGGAGATGTACCGTGGACAAGGTTATTTTACACGAAAGTAGACAATCAAGGGGTCATAACCATGGAAAAAATATTCAAGAAGAAAATCAAAAAACTATGCACAAGTAGCTTGGTGACAAACAATCCTGTGAAATTCAATGAAATGCTCCCAAAGATTTGGTGATGAAGCGCGGACAAGCTTACTTTATTCGAAAATTAACCATAAATGGACCATAACAGTGCGCAAAAAATCAAGCGGTAAATCAAGTTACCATGTACAACTAGGTATGGTGGACAAACAATCCTGTGAGTTTCACTGAATCCCTTCAACCGTTTCGGAGATGTAGCGTGGACAAGCTTATTGTATTCAAAAATTGAACACTTAGGGGCCATAACTGTGCCATAAAAGTCAAGCAGAATATCAAGAGAGTATGCACAAATTGGCTTGGTGACAAACAATACTATTAAATTTCACTGAAATCCCCCTATCGGTTATGGTTATAAAGCGCGGACAAAGCACAAGCTTATTTTACTCAAAAATTTACAATTAAGGGACCAGAACCAAAATAAATCAAGCGGAAAAATCAAAATGCACAACTAGGCATAATGACGAACAATATTATAAAGTTTTACTGAAACACCCAATCCCTCTTGAAGATGAATTTCGGTCAAGATAACCGGATAAACGGACAGTGCGATAACTGGATAAATACAGAAAATAAGAATCCCTGAAGAAAAGCTACACAACACAATTCTAAATGTTGCAGGCTCGGTTTGATTGAGCATATTCATGGACGGTTTTAACATGAATAGGTACAATTTTGAATTTTGAAACATCCGCATATGTGTTAATATTGCGGTTATCATTGGACCTTTAATGTGACACGCAAATGCCATTCCATGAAAAGCGGCATATGGCCCCTAAGTAACAAAATGCGTGTGCCCTGAACGAGAAAACAATGGACGAAACTAAATAAAATGTTTAAATGAAATAAAATGTATGCCGCCTTTTGAGGGGCATAATAAAGCTAGTCATACCAAAAGATACGTTCATATTTTGTTTGGTGATAATTGGTTACAACATTATAAAGCAATTTAGAATTTAACAAGGGCAACATTGTCGCAAAATGACCGGGGACAAAAGCGATTGACGTGGGCATAAAATATATGATAAAAGAAATATGCTCTTGGCAATATCAGGAAAAAATCTTGGAATTTTATCATCTCTAGTGACCTTGATCTTGGAAATGTTATCCTACCCTTAATAAATCATGACGAAATCGTCCGAATTCACATTTTTAATATTCTATCTGAACTTTGACCCTTACGTGATACATTGACCTTGGCCGCAAGGACCTTAATTTTGCAGTCTCACAATAATTTATTTGTGACAAGTTATATCACTAGCACCTTAACTTGAGTACGGCGATTACGCAAAATGTTTCAAAACGCTTGATATAAGACCAGCAGTTTTTTTGTTTTAAAATAGCATTGCGTAGTGTTAGGAGCTAAACGCAACAGAGAAGATAACGCAGCAACAAATTTCAATTTTTATTAAAGAAAAAACAGTTTTGTACAATAATATAAAAAATATGAAAATAAAAAGTAGCTAATTATTATCTAAGACCTCGAATTCAACAAATGTCCTTAAGTTTAACTCACACTTCGCAATTCAATTGTTACAGAACTCAGATTTAATCAATTTCCAATGTCCACAGCAAAAGCAAAATAAATACAATATGTCCAAAATACTTCCCACAAGGAATAACAGAACCCAAACTTATATATGACTATGTTAGCATTACAAAAGCACACAATCAGTATATCAACACCATACAATATCACAAATAAGCACACACCTCGATGTGCAAACATTCATCATATATATACTATCAACGAACAATCTAGAATACTAAACTACTTAGAGAAAGAATATTCCAGAATGAACATGAAAAGAACTTTCTTGAAAGAAGATGAATGAACATGAAAAATACATTCTTGAAAGAATATGAATGAACATGAAAAATTATATTAACATCAAATAAACAAAATTATTAAAAATGATAGTGGCATGAGTAGGTATCGAACCCTCGACATAGAGATTATCAGTCCTGCGCTCTACCTACTGAGCTATTCAGGAAACATATACTATATTTAAAATAAAGCTTATATACATAACAGTTGTTGTAACATGAATCAGTTCCTTAAGTTTGAAGCGTGTCTTTTGACAAAGTATTCTCTTCACTTACATTCTATAAACATTTGTTTATTCGTTAAATGTCATGCATAAATTTCAAAAATGCTATCTGTGATAAATACACCTCTATAACATTATACATGAATAATTCCACATTGAGGAGTGTTGATATTACGGCTTTACAGGCCAATAAAATACAACGCGGCAATTTTTTGTTATTTGCTGTAGAAAATGCGACAAACACTGCGCGGTTATCGTTTTGAGTTTACAAGACGAAATGCGGCAGTAACTGCACATGCATCTATCTTTTGCTGTTTCCGATAGAAAAGTCCACTTGGCGGCTGTCTTTCTTAGTTTGCATGTGAATATATAGCACCCATCATCGGGCTATCTTTCTCAGTTTGCATGAGAAATGCGGCACTTCCGCGCAGCATTTAATCAGAGCACGAAAAAATATCGCACTCAATGCACGGCTATCTTTCTCCGGTTGCAAGAAAAATGTGCACTTCTATGCGTGGTTATTTATTTCAGTTTGCTAGAGAAATGACGGTTTTTACTGCGCGGTATTCTTAATTAAGGAATCAAACGCACTTGTTGTCCTGCTATCTATCTCTGTTTGCAAGAGACAATTGAAACTCTCACTGCATGGCTATCTTTCTCACTTAAGAATTGATTATGCAGTTCTCTCTGTTCAGATATCATTCTTAGTTTTGCAAAAAAAATGAGGTACTCACTGCACGGGTAACTATCTCACTTTGTAAGGGAAATATGGCACTCATTGCGCGGCTGTCTTTGTAAATTGTGACACCTTACGTGCGTTTATCTCTTGCTGTTTTTCAAAAGAAAATGCAGCACCAACTACGGGGCTGTTCCAAAAGTTTGTGAGAGTAAAGCTGACACTACGCGGCAATCTTAAGCAGATATTCTTTAATTACATAGAATTAATCAACAAATGTCATAATTTCTTTTTAAGACGCATTTATGTTCATCTTTGATCTCAAAACAATTTTTGAATGTTGCAGTTGATACAACGGCTTTGTCTTCCAACATTATCCGAATCGTTGAACATTTTGTTTTCGTAAATGGTATGGTTTTATCTGTCCGTGCAATCATATATACATGTATAAGTAATCTTATATGATTAAACATGAATACTAATTTAACTGAATGATCCATGAACCTTTGTTATTTGAACATCTTAAAATTCATTAAAAACAATATTTATTTTTATAACATTTTTATGTTATAGTAAGAAACAGAATACCTTAAAGCAGGTTTCTCCAAGCTTAATAGTTTGCGGTCCTTGATTCATTCCAACGTTCAGCGACGCGCACCTATTTGAAAAATGTAGATTCAACACATTTAATCAGAATTCAAATAAATATCAATTTGTGATTGATTTACATACAGTGAGCAGCCATAATAAATATATTTAAATGACTTTGAAATTTTGAAATTTGAAGATAATTGTGACTAGTGACGCACACATATTTCTTAGTTGGCGTTTATTAGGGTTGCATTACAACATAAAACTGGTGAAATGAGGGCAAAAAACCATGCAATGTTGAAAATGAAATGTCGGTTTATTGGATCAATTGATTCATAAATAACAAGAAATGACAAGTACTGCCTGCGAGAGAGCAAACAATTGTGTATTTGTATCTAAAAAATTCAATTAATTAATGTAAGCAATGTCTTAGAAAGTATTCAACCAAAATTAATAGTAGTTATTAATAAAAAAAAACCCGTAAAACTAGGCCAGAAATACTAAATGCATATTAAACTTTATATGTACACGTTATTATTTGCCAGCTTGAACTCTATTCTGTGGTACGCCTGCTTGTTTTCATGGAAACTGAGGCATGAGTACTTCTGCCAAACAGGAATGGCCTTTCGGATTTCATTTTCATGTTCTGTACCTGAATTAAAAACATATAGGTATACAAACTTCAGACATAATGAATATCCATGACTAAAAAACATTTGAAAAACAGTTCGACAACGTGCCAGATTTAAGAACAAATTTGGTTGTTTTTAATTTTACAATGATAAACAATAAAAAAAGATTCAGCTAGCTACAGTCAAATATATCACATAGACAGCAATAGAAAAACATATACATGTACGTATCTTGCACTCGTTCACCATTTTCCAATGTAGCATTGGACTTCAGAACACTTTCGACTCTGCTGTTTTTAAGCCCCATATTCAGAAAAAGTACTTTATGTATGTTCAATCAGTAAGTTAAATTAAATACGACATACAATTTATTTCCCGAAATTCGACATAGAAACTAAGCTTTCTGCGTTTGAACATTGACAGAAAACCAATTGATACAAAACAGACTTTATTACAAGATGAAAATAATAGTATATTTGTTTCAGATCTATTTACGATGGATTGTTTTTATAGTTCTCGAAAGTATTATAAAATGTATGTAAGGATTATGGCACTAGGATATTTTTGTTAAAACCGACGAAGAAATTATACTTTTAAAATTTGAAAGTAAAAAGCGCATTATGGTGCAATTTAAACCAGTCACTTATTTTACGAAAAGCACACTCATTTGGTTAAATATTTTGGATACAATTTAGATAGTGTTTCAATTTTCAGATTATGGCATCGGTTTTTAAAATAAGGAAAATGCAAGACTTAAGGGTTGTTATCAACATTCATGCAAAAAGTCAGTATAATTTAGAGAATTTATTTTGAAAGCAGCAACCAGATAACGTCCAGTCAGACAGGACTACCCAGCAAGACACGACTTAAATGCTGGATTTCAACAGGAGAAAGCGAAATATTAAGTTTGATTGGACAACGAAATATCAAAGCAAAATTGAAGTCCTAAATTAATTGTGCGTTGTCACAGGAAAGGGTTTGGGCTTAAGGTAACTTGAACCTTCTATCTATGCTCATAGCACCGATTAAAGAAGAATTAAACAGTTAAACTTAAAAGACGAAGGGTTTAAATATGTTTCTTCCACGGGACAAAAGAGCAATGTTGTAATAACTCTGTATCTAAACAAAAACTAAAAAAAGGTGGAGATGCCCTTATCAGCTACAATAACAGTTCTTTTTTCTAGAAAACGGTCTCGCCATCTATTTAATAAAATGTTAAAATAAAAAGTTTGGCAGTTAGGGCGACAACAAAAGCATATATTTCTCCCACTATTATTTCAAGTTTTAGTTTGATTATACAGTTTTAACTCGACGGCCAAAAAAATAACCTGATATGTTTTCAATTCATTAGTTTCACTGGGTGTGTCATATATTTTATAAAACAAAAGCTGACTACAAAACAAATATTTTGACAATTGAATATTGACTTACGAATGATATAGAAACCGTTCATAAATAGCAGAAAAAGGATAACGATAAAATTGAGATATTATCTACAGGAAGTAAAAGTAGCATTTTGTATTTATATTATTAAGATGTAGAATAAATTGTATGTGCTAAAATAAGTGCGAAAAGCATGGATAATTCTCTGGTTTATATCTAACGGTTATTCATGTAAAAGGTTAAGATTGTTTGAATACGCGGTGTTGCAAATGTAAAGAAGAAGGTTTACATACACATGCGCACATAAACGGCTTTTTTCGTAACATGGATAATGTTTAAGTTTAAACAATTTAAGATTTACTCTACGAAAAAATGATTTATGAAAAATGACATCAAGAGGTTTTAATTCGGATAATTCCGTTGTATTAAATAAAAATAACATGTCCATAAACATCTCTGTATATTAAAAGTGATAAATTAGGACCACAATACGTAAACAGACTTACTTATTTCGTCACCAATTGCATAGTGTATTTCTGGCTGCCAACGTCTTGTTTCGTCTTTGTTAATATTTGCACGGTTACTTTCCGAGCAAGAAGGTTAGACAAATATGAAAATTTTAATTAGTTTGGCAAATAAATTGTATACATTATTGTGCATATATTTTGCAAGCATATTTCAACATTTAAATGTGCATTTATATCTATAAAAATGTTCTATGCAACTACCACCAACACAATACAGTCATTATCACCATATTCATTTTTATCGATATCGATGTCATTGCCTTTTTTGTACTTGAAACTTGGTAATAGTCATAAATTTAATGATTTGTATAAATGTATATGTATTTTAAAACAAATTCAGTGCTTAATTTCTATATAAGATATTTTAGGCTACTTTTGGTCATACACATCCTTTTAAACCAATCTGCTATTTACTCCGATATAATTGTGATAAAACAACAAAGATATCAGACAGAAAATAATACATATAAACAAGAGCTATCACCTTAGGTGATCTATAGCCAAACCCTTTTTGAAAAGTAGAGAATAATAAAAACAATAAATTGCTTTGATAAAAAGAGTATAAACATCTGTTAACCATTGTCTCTGTTGAAAAAACTGGAAAGAAACCAACAGTGACCTTAGACATAGGGGTCCTAAAGCAATCCAAAGTTAAGTTTCTACATAGATTTGCTTTTATTTGCAAAGTTTGATAACAATATATCATTCGTTCTCTGAGTTTTGGTCCGGAAACCAATTTCTATTTTGAGTAACAGTGTCCTTGACCGTGAACCCATAGAATTTAAAACAATCTTTAGTTATTGTACAGTTATTAATTTTCTATTTGAGTAACAGTGACTTTGACATTGAACTTATACAAGCTTCCTATAAACAAGGGGTAATTACATAATGTCATTCCTGACTCTATCTTTTTCCTAAAACCATTTTTTTTCCTACTTTTAGTTAAAGTTCCCTTGACATTGACCCAAGGCCCCGAGTTCACATAGATTTAAGGATCAGGAAATTTAAGAATTAATATATTGCTATTTTAGAAAGATATGGGCATTTTATAGTTGGTCAAATATTGATCTTGATTCTAAAATTGATCCTTATTTTCATCCGATTATATTTTATTTGTTTGCTTTTTTATTTTATCCCAAAATAGGTTGGTTAATTTGCAAATCAGCATTGTCTTACAATTCAAAAGTACACTTTATTTCTAACAAAATACGATAAGTTAAAACAATGAAAATAAAATCAGAATCATCTTTTTTTTTGTGAACACGGGGCCTGGAGTTCAAAAGCACTTCCAATCTTGTTCTTCATACAGGGTTGCAATATACCAATTCTGAATACAATAGCTCATTAAAAAACTCCAGTTATCGGCCGGAAAAGATGAAGTGGACCGACCGACAAGGTGACTAAGATATTCACCCCTACTTCGTTTGTGTGTGTACTGTAAATACTACATGACTATGAATAAATTTTGCAGTCTTACCTTGAAGGCGTCTTGACACTTTTATCTACAATTATATCAAGCTCCATCAACTCGAATTCTTGGTCGCCCACATTCTCTAAAATTTATAGGAATGTTGAAGCTCTATCAATTGAAATTTTAATTCTAGGAACAACTGCGCAAGTGCTTGAATATTCGTCAGATACATTCATTTTTTCCTTGGGTAGAAAATAATGTTTGTAGATATTGCCTTTAACTTTTTGTCTATATATAACTTGCCTAATGTCTTTGTCTTATCAGTGAGATACTATTAATTCTTTATCAAATAAATGGTATAACAATAAAGTTCTTATTATCACAATACTATGTATACGGTTGGGTTACATTTTTTGTGCAAGCCTGTCTCTAATGTACTTGAATAACATTTTGAGACATTTTATGAGTTTAAATCATACATACCTTTATTATTAGTTTTAGCAAGAATTTGGTCGATTGAAATGTCTCCATATTCCTAAAGAATGAGAAATATTTACGAATGAATTTAATTCCATTTATTTTCAAGAAAACACTTTTATCTGTGTCAAAGTTCTAAATAAATCTGTATGTTTATATTATTCAAAATAATTTGGTATAGTTTTCATTTATTTGGATTTTTTCATCATTTAATAATATTATGTGTTTAAAGAGCTTGTTTAATTGGGGTTGTTAAATAAGGGTAAGTACAGTAGGGTGAACGTTTCAGTTTACACGCAAAACGCACGCTCTGGAAAAAAACGCACGCACGTTACACGCTATACGAACGAACGTTATACGCACGCTAAACGAAACGAAATACGCAGACGCACGCAAAATGATATACGATAAACGAAATAAGCTAAACGATATACGCACGCTAAAACGCACGCAAAATCAAAACGTTTATAAACCTTAATTAAAATATCGTAATCATATTTAGTTTTTAACAACTTTAGCTACGTGTAGAACGTTAAGCGATTAATTTTGATTAAATGAGAGCTAGAAATGTATTTAAAACAGGTTTATTTTTGAGCTGAAATGCACTTAACCTAGCAGCAATTTTTTTTTGTCACAGCCTCAACACATTTTTTTTTTTTTTGAGGCCCCATCTGGGTAACCCCGTTTATTTACCCCGTAATAGGTATGAGGGGGTCGGGGTCATCCTCCATCATACCTTACATTGTTAATATACAATATACATGTTGCAAAATAATTATATTCATGTAAATATTGTCAAATACATCTACTGTATATATTTTGTATATAAATATAAACAACATACATACCAATTAACCCATCTATTTTCCAAAAAATATTTTACCACAGAAAAATACTACTTATAAATAAACAATTAAACAATCTGTTACCGACAGGTAAAGTTATTGTTTCACATATTAAGTGTAGTTTAAGCAATTAAGGATCTTATAATTGACCATCTATTATTTTCATCATCTGTCAAATGTGTATTTCTATAGATATTCCATGCTAATTTCAAAACTATTTTTAAAACCAATCCATGTAGGTAAAAAGTTTTTTCTCTTAGACAAATAACAGCCTCAACACATGATTTTCAAAAAATATAAGCTATCATGCGCTAATATCGAAAGTTAAATAATTAAACGGGTACATTCCTCTTTATGCGCTATCGGATAAAGAACTATCCCTTGACTATCCCTTGCATTCACTACGTAACGTCTACGTAATAGTCCACAACATGGCCGACACGGAAAAATACATTGCAAATAAAATCACAGACGCTTGGGGGTCAGATCCTGCCCCCCTTGGGGGTCAGATCCTGCCCCCCCCCCCCCCAACGTGATACGCCCCTGTAAACACTCTACCAAAACTATTTTAATATTTAAACACGAATGGGACATCTATTACAACGATAAAAATGGTTTTCAAACATGTTTTTACATATATGAAAAAATACCGTATACCATCAAGTCTCAATAAAGTACTTGATGGTATACGGTATTTTTTCATATAGGCTATGTAACATTATAACATTAAGGGAAACGGATAACATTAAGGGAAAAGCTTCCAGAATCAGGAAGGATTAAATTGCTGGCACTATACGTAGATTTACACAAATGTAAGTGATGTCCTGTATGTTTCATTAGGACACCGCATGATCTACTACTGTGTTGTCGCCAGTAAAAGCTTCTCAAAACGAAAGTGAAAGTAGAAATAAACAATACTGAAATCAAGTGAAATCACAAAAAAAACTAAAAAGGTAAACTTTCTAGGGCATTACAATATATGAGTACATGTATACATAAATATTAAGAATGCACTTTTATTTTGGGTCTGAAACTGTAATCGAGAGGAAAAAATAGGAAATTAAAATAAAAGGAAACTAGTCCATCTCATGCACCTGACCATTAGTGCAAGATGGGGAGGAGTCAAGTGTGGGAATTTGTGAATCATGTGTAAAATAATTGCATTTACAAAGACAGCACAATAGAAATTATTTTTCATATCACGTGAAATTGAAATTTATTGACATGTGCTAAATATGTATTATCACACACCCATACCGATTTTGCGACTATGTAAATATGGTATTGCACGGCCGTGCATATATTTTGAAGTGACGTCATTAGCATTATACAAACAAAGTGTAAAAACGCGCTAAATGTTAGTGTTATACTATAGGCGCGTCAATTAAAAATGACTCTTATTTCACTTTAAACATTCTTTATTTTTGGTATGTGATAAAAAGAATAATAAATTGGTGTTACTGTAAGTACATTACTGAATTTATTGCACTCGTTGAATAAAATATTATTATGCTCGCCAGAGGCTCTCATAATATTATTTTTTTCAACTCGTGCAATAAATTCAGTATTTAACTTACACTCATTCAATATCCTCTATTTAATAATTATATGCTTTATTATTACTAAGCAACATTAAATGCCTAGTACCTTCCTTTTTATGTTACTATTACAAGTTTAAAAAATATGCTGCCTAACCGAGACTTTAACCCTGGACCCTCGGAAACCATTCTGCAGCTTAACCGAACTGAACTATCAGGCTGCTTACACATCACCTCCCTAAATAGTGGACAGTTTGGAACCATGACATATATCCCTGCTTTATTGAAATTCGTCCTTGAATAGGTACAATGCGAATAGGACTTTTATACCATCGTTTTATACCATCACAGTCCCCTGTGGAATATGTGATAGTATGAAACTCGAGAAAATTACTGTTGTTTTAAATGTTATAGAGGAGAACCTATATAGTTTCTGATTACACCCAGTAAAGGAAAATACCCCTGTGGTATTATAATAATCTAAATGATTAATACTCATAGGCTATCCTAAAAAAAATCACTGGTAAGGAGGCAATTAATTGAGGGCGCCTGCCTGGGCCCACAAAAGTCTATGCAAATCCCTACCCCCTTCTTATTTAAAAGCTATCAAATTTAGTACTGCTACAATGTTTTATGAAATATAAAATCACATTACTAGACAATAATCAAGTATTTCACAATATTGACGTAAGACATAATCATTAATAAATACAGACAAGCAAATAATAAGCTGGAAATATTTATTAATCACAGAGTAAGAAAAATATGCAGCCTGACTGAGACTCAAAACAAGACCCTCAGAATATCATGCCTGAAATATCTCCTTAAATAATTGATGAACTGACATACTGAGATGTCTGTTTATACAGTCTTGGCCCTATGCTGGTTCCCGAAAGTAATTGTGAAGCCTGACTGGGGCTCAAACCTGGGAGGCTTGCATGGACACTTTGAATACCATTCCGAAGCTCTACCAACTGAGCTATAATGTTTCTTCAATATCCCCTTCTCTAATCATTGAACAGTTAATACTGTGACATCCGTGCCATATTGAACTCCACAATTTTTTCATGAGTTTACAGAATACGGCTCAGCTATATACAACCATGGCTCTACAGTTTGACCGGATATCAAACCCCGGACAATCAGAATACCATATGGGGGCGGTACTGACTAAGCTATCTCAGGCCATCTCACATTCCTACCCCCTCCACAATTAGAACAGAAAAAAACAGTAGCTCAAATATACCTTTAACCCAAAATGGTTAGTGCAGAACTCCTGGATCAAAGATGAGAGTGCATCATAATTTTGTTAACCTATCTAGCTCCAGTGAAACAAGGGCACTCCCCCAAAATAAAAAAAAAAATATCCCTAGATATATGTCAATATCCCTATATTAAGTTAATCAAATTAATACAGTAAATACTAGACAGTTCATTGAGCTCAAGCATGTTACATGCATGTATAAATTAATTAATTCCATTTTGTCTCTAGTTTAAGGGGAAGCAACTCATGTTTACCAAATTGTTTGTCCTTATCTGTCTATCTCAGACAGACTATTCTAGCTGTTTATTAACAATTTGGTTATCAGGCTATACAGAAACATTCTTATTACTTTTTATTTATAAATTGAAAGAAATAATGGATATTTTGTGTGACTGGCTGTATAATATACTTTAGATTTAATTTCAATTAGTCCATACCTAAAGGTATCCTGCAACAGGATTCATCCAATAATATTTTTTTTTATATTCAGATTGTTTTCCAAACGTTCTTCCCTTTACTTTCTATTGCAGCCCTCCGTCTTTTTACCAAATGACTGATGTAAATCTTGTCAAGCAGTTTTATTGTCGCCTTGAAAAAGGCGACATATAGGGGTTATTTTTGTCGGCGACAGCGTCGGCCCTTAAGCTTGTCCAGAGCACAAGTCAGTCATTATCAGTTAGATTGACTTCAAACATGGTATGCATGCTTCTAAAAATGACTCAAAGTGCAGTGCACAAGAACTGGTACTCTGCAATTCTTAATTTTTGAGTTATTGCCCCTGGTTAGTTTGCATACTTTATTTTTGTACGGGCCATTTAATTATTTTAAAGTATAAAATCTTTTGATTTGAAACTTCATAGGATGATAGATCTCATTAAGAAAATGTGCAGTGTACAAAAATCGGTACTCTGCATTTCTTTCTTTTGAGTTATTACCCTTTATTAATTTCATACTTTATTTTTGTCCAGGCCATTTCACATAAATTATAAAAGTTATGGACTTGAAACTTGTTATAATGATAGATCTTATTGATAACAAGTGCAGTGCACAGAAACTGCTGTTCTGCACTCCTTATTTTTTTAGTGATGGCCTTTGTTAATTTTCATATTTCATTTTTGTCCTAGACCTTTCTCCTAAACTATATTGTTCACAAGGCGACACATCCAACTCGCGGAGTTCCAGTTTTAATAAACTTGAAATATATCGGCTATCTGTAAATAGATCCTTTTGCTTTCATTTTCGGCCGAATGTATCGTTTATTGTTGTATATACTTCAAGACATCTATTAAAATGAATTTGTATAGCGGTACTTATTTAGCATGAATTCTTGTCCTTGAGATAAAACGGTTATTCCTTTTATTCAATGATTTATTTTTTAATAGTTTTGCTCTAGTAAATCGGTTTTCAAAATAATCACGCATACTTGCAAGCATAATATATTGAAAACTACAAAGAACGCTTAATTGAATTGCAAATAAATATATATCTTTCATTAGTAAAAATCACCCTTAAAATAGAAGATATTCTATAAAAGAGGTAGGAAAACTCGAAAATCTTCTCCATTCTTAATCATGGAAAGAGAACGAAAAGCACTGAGTTTAGAACAAAATATGATATTTGCAAGAAATTGAGTAAGGGAGTAAACCTAAAACTGAAATAGCAAAGGAGTTTCAAATTCCAAATAGTACGCTCCCGGGTATTGTGTCTAAAATATAATTAAATGACTAATTTTTCTTAATCAAATGATCTTCAAAATTGAGGACGATGGTTAACAATTAGTTCGTTATATCTTAATCTGTTCGCTGTAAAAACTCCTGATACAAGGAACTAATTCGCTATATGCTTACAAGAAACTTCGGATATAAGGAACACATTTTTAATGTCCCAATGAGTGGAGTATATGTCCTTTCGTAATTGGTTTATGCTCAGGTCTACTTCCTTATTAGTATTAACACAAAGCCAAAACATTTAAACTTACTTTCAAGACAAACTGGAAATTTATTCTTTTCTTTATCAAACACTCCATATCTGCTTGTGGTAATAAATTCAAATAGGTATTCTCTGTTAGATTCGACATATAATTCGTAACCGTCTCTACAATAAATTTCAATCTAGGAAAGAGAAATAGAGAAACCATACAAAGTATATAATATTCAGTATATGTTGTACAAAACATCATTGTTACAATGCACTCTTATGTAGCAAATATCTCCCAATAATTTTGATATGCGGGAGATATTCAAAGATATGTTCATGTAATAACTATAAATATTTTGTCATCAACACGGAATAGACTTTTTGATTGGTTTAAAATGAAAGTATAATTTGTGAAAAGTGAACACAGGATGCGATAATATTAGGAGTGTCATAGTTATTTGCTTAAATACAAACGCTACTGTTCACGTCTTTTCGATTAAATTCAGGTCAGACGATAGTTCTATTGATGATAAGTTATACATTTCGGAAATTATCAAGGTACATTATACTCACCCTTTCATTCGGTTCAATAAATGTTTCCCTGTCTAATCTGTTTCTCTTCGAATCTCGGAATAGTGTGAATTGATTGTAAGGGTAACCAGCAAGCGAACTCTTCGCTACAAATACAAAATTTATCTGAGTATTTTCGAGACAGCCAGACAGACACGCAAGTAAAACACTAGGAAACGGTAAGAACTCAACTGTACTCACCTTCAATGCATGTAGGAGCGCCTTTAATTTGGCCCTGTACACACCGTCTTTTCTGAGGAGAAAGTAATAGTTGATTTCTGCTGTTGTAGAACGCATACCCTTTTTCGCACGAAATCCAAACGTCTTCATTACTTGGAATTCTTGATGTAAATTGAAAACCGTCCTCATGTTTATATTTAGTATGACGCATATCCGGTTCACACCATTCTATATTTAAAAATATAGATTTTATACTCTTACATATCATAAAAAGTCATATTCAAATTCGCTATATAGAAAGTAATAAGTTTAAGAAGAAACCAAATTGATTACATTGTTTTTATTTGTTTTGAATGATAAGAAGTTGTGTCATAATTTCCCAACATCTCCTGAGAACTTTTATCCAACTTATAGTAATTTGGGCGTTTCGAAATAAAATGTCATCACAAAACAAAGTTCCATCACAGGCTCGATGGAAATAGATGATTAATACATGTTTTGTCGAACGAAAAACAAATCTATGTAAAGTTTTTGCAAAACTTGCAAAAATCATGCTTTACTTTTTTTTTAAATATTGACTTAAATTATAAACTAAAAGTAAAAAACTAATGGCAAAATCGTCTTGCATCAAGCTATCCTACTTTCTGCATGTTAACGGGTCTGATAATAGGGATGTATATATCTATGTCAACATAACAACCGTTAGGTCGCAATTATATCGTATAAACTGCATATTGTACTTTTTTGCAAATTTTATAACAATAAAAATACGCCTTTTTGACCTGTTTTGTGAGGGAGAGTAGCTGAGGCGTGAATATTAAATGTTATGGGCCTATTCCTTTCAACAAGCTCGTAAGTGCAAGGATTTACATTGGATTTTATCAAGTTAAATTTTATTCAACTCTTTTATGATATTCTTTGATACATTAAAGGCAAAGCAAATTATAAAGAATGAATTTAGTAATACAAAGCCAAGAGCAGTCGTTACAATCGTTTAGTTAAAAAGCAATAAGCCAATACAAAACTAAAAAGAGGATATTCAAGTTTATTTCTCTATAATTACATAATTTATTTTCATCAAGAGGTATGACAATAAATATTTCATGACTGGCGGTAGCCACGAGTGAATTATGATAATTTTCATGTCAAAAGATGAAAATAAATCGTGAATTTATTGAAAAAACTTGGATTTTCTGTTTATCATATTCATTTTTTCTCTTTTTTTGATTTACAATTTGAAAGACTTTCTCTTAAATAGTGTTTACTTGCAGAATTGAAAAGAAAGTAGTTCGGCAAGACACCAGTGAAAGTACTGAAAAATATGTTTCCCCGCAGTGAACACTAATTCTTTACAGTGAAATTACGGAAAATGAAAATACGCATTTTAGTTCATCAATATTTCTCAATATTTTATTTATACAATAAATATTTTTTCCTATCTATGTCTTCCTTATTACAAAGAAATAGCATTCTTGTAAGTGCTCTATTTTTCTTTATAACTGTTGATTGAGAATTGGCTTACTTGATTTAGTTACATATTGTTTATTATAATTAGATCAGAAGAAACAAAAATCATTGGTATTATAGCACAATTTTGACAAAACGTTTAAAGATCACATACATAAAAGTTACAAAAAATTGTTTGCAATGAAATTAACTCAGGAAACACATTAAGAAACAGTCCCTTTTATACTTATATTTAAGAGTTGGCCTAGCATCATTTAGAAGTTTATTTCACTCACAAAAAAAATTAATATCATGAGTCCTCGGGTGCGCAATATAACCAATTTATCATAAACTCTTTGTTTAAAAACGTATGATCTTGTTCCGATGAAATGTTGTTATGAAACTGAATAAGAGTACATCTGACACAAAAATAAAATAAACCTTCTACACATTCAGCATTCGGCTCAAGTGTTCCATTGTTGTTCCGGATATTTGTACATAACTCCTTGTTTACTGGTACAATGCCATCTATTTTAACCTCAAAACCACGATGACAGCATATCTTGTATGATTCATCGTGCCAGACTTTGCCTCTTTTTTTTCCTCTCAAAAACCCATCATTTGGAACATATATATAAGCTTGTTCTAAAAAAAGAATAATAATTTTTATACAGTGTAAAGTATTTATGTAAAATAAACAATATATATGGTGTAGCCAAGCATTTGAAAAAGAGATCATGGCATATTTTTGAACATTAAAGATTTAGAAACCTCACAATTTATTGATATCAAAAAATTCTATTCAAATTGATAAACTGAGAAAATAAAATAATTTGTCAAAACTACTGACTGTAACACTTTGGAGGTGGGGGTTCCCATCGTAAATTATTTTCACACGTAGAATGCCCGACATTGATTGGTATCATAGAGTAATTTTCGTCGCAACTGAAAAATAAATCAAATGCCACGTATTGTAGACGTAAATAATTAAAAAAGTGGATTTATGTTTGACTCAAGACTTTCGGCATCTTAATTCAACATACTGCATGTTTCATACCCATTTTTCAACAAGTCAAAACAAATTCGATAAATTTGAAATCTGATCTGAATAATCGTTGATTTAAAATCTAATGTGTCCTGATTAACATAAAGCTGCACATGGCATATTGTTAGACATGTTTTTAAAAGCATCACGATGATGAATTATTATATATTTGAGACAGAAGTTGTTATTTCCATATAACATATAACAAAACCCATATTACATTACGTAATGACAGCTACATATCTGATAAATTTCTAATCAGAGTTATAGAATATGGAAGCAACGCATGACAGCAAATTTATTTCTAAGTAGACATGCGAAAAATATGACAGCAAATGGAAATTCGATAAATTTAACAGGATCATAATGAAATACTGTTAGTATCAATTTATTCCGCACATTTTCAACTAAAATGTTTAGCAAGCTATACCGTTTTATTCTTGAAATGAAATAACTGATTTAAAAACCAAAAGTATCTTAGTGATTAATATCAATCCATGAGTTATTCACGTTACCTGTAAAACGCTTTTGAGTAGAGATTCCTTCCCCAAAAATATTTAACATTTCCACCGTAAAAATCCTCTATCAAATTGCATTTTGGCTCTGAAATGTGATACGCAAAACATTTAAACGCAATGATAAATGTAAGTTTCTCAAAGTTTTCTGAACGTGTACCTAATTGTGAGTGAATATATATTGATAAAGTTGACTTGTTTAAGTACTCAATTTTGATAATCGCGTCTAAATGTATTAACTTAATAACTTATCTTAACTTATTAACTAAAGATCTTTTATATACACATGTATAAACATATTGGTAGCGGTATACATTTAAAGATATTGAAATTTACCTTCACAAATTGGGTCTTTGCCACTCCATTTTCCATCAGACTGACACGTTCTTTTAACTGTTCGAAGCTGTATATTGCCGTTCAGGTAATAGTCTTTGAAATGTAAAATATAGAATGATGGGTTTCAATATATAGTCACTAGAAAGACGGCTGGTCCAAGGGTTATCTTTTAGCGGAGACACTTGAATTTTGTAAATTATGGTCATTGTACAATTATAATTGTCACTTTACTTTGATTTTTTTCTTAACTCGTTTCAAATGCGAGGGTCTTTCAGAGACTTGTTTGTTTTAAGTTTAATTGAGATCTATTTACCTGCAAAGTTTTAAATTGATACCTTTTATAGTTCTCAATGTTCTGGACAAAATTCAAAGTGTAAAAATAAACTTAGGGCAATAACTTCAAAATTAGGAAATAGAGTGAAATAAGAATCCCTAAAGAAACCCCAACGCGGCAAAATTGAAAATGTTTCAGGCTCGGTTTGATTGAGCCTGTTCATGGACGGTACTGGAAAGTGCAATCTACCGTCCACGCCCCCTAGCACCGGCTTAAGCAGAATTCACTGGTAAAATTTAGAATTTAGAAACATCCGCAGATGTGTTCATACGGCGGTTATCATGGAACCTTCAATGTGACACATATGGCAACATATCCTACCCAACAAGAAAGATGCCGAATAGATAGAACTAAAATACCACAAGCACAACAATAATGTCGTGCTGAACGATCTTTAAGAATCGAAAATATAACATCCCTGATTGAATGAACGGTGCGACTTTTTACAGCCTCCACACGGCACAAACAACGCTGATGTGGCGATAAAATAGAGTGAAATAAGAATCCCTAAAGAAAGCCCAACGCGGCAAAATTGAAACTGTTGCAGGCTCGGTTTGATTGTGTCTGTTTATGGACGGGCGGCGGGGGGTGGGGAGTTCGGTTCTTTAGCACTGCACTTCTTATCATTACGATGTACTGGCCTACATCGTTTCTTGATACTCTTTTTAGTTCTTATGTTTTGTCCCGGGAAAATAAACAAAGAACAATAACTCGAAAATACGGGAACAGAAGGTTTCAGTTCTTATACATTACACTTCTACTAAGTGTGATCTGTCTACCTTAAAAGTTTTAAGTGTATACCTTTTATAGATCTCAAGTTATGTCCCGGACAAAGATCAAAGTGTAAAAATGAGCAAGGGACAATAACTTTAAAATGAGGTAAAGCAGATTTGCAGTTCTTTTTATACTGCACTGCTACTCAATGAGAAATACCTACAAAGTTTAAAGTTGATATCTTCTTTTGTTCTAAAATTATGTCCCGGACAATGTAAGAATAATAAGTAACGGCTATTATTCTAAAATTAAGGGAAGGGAGGGTTATTGTTCTTATGCACTGCATTTTTGCTCATTCCGATCTATCTTCCTACAAAAATTGAAGTTGATATCTCTTGTACTTTCTGAGTAATGATACGGAAAAAAATCTGCAAAAAATATCAATTATGCTGCAGCTTTTACATTAGATATTCATATACTTTAATTGAATGACTTTTACATTTTTAATTTGAGTTCAGAAAAAAGGCACTGCATATTTCTTTTCCCTAAAAATAGTTGGGTCAACTTACATTATATAGGCATATGTAGTTTTTCTTCATTTTAAAGGAAAAAATTTACCCAAATTTATAATGAAATCTGTAGCTTTCCTCATATAACTTTTTCAAACTTTTTTTTATGTATCAGTACATTCGTCATGTGCTTAAATCGAGAACATCAGTTCCATATTTCCATATTCATATTTTAAAACATTTTTATGAAATAGAGAACAGTGATATTTCATTATTCACACTAATATCATTTTTGCATTCAGAAATACGAATCAAAGGCAAAAAATGCAGAGGTTCCTACGCCGATCGCAGGTTGTATTCAGCAACGCTTTCATAGTTATTTGCAAGGCCATCACTTGTATCTTGGAATATACTGCCATGCTGCGTATCTGAGACAGAGTTGGACATAGATTTGCTAACAAAAAAAGTAAAAGGTGTGAACAATTTTTGAATACAACAATAGTTTAAGTAATCAACAAATCAAAGAATCAATGAATCAAACAATCAATTAGTAAAAAATCAATATTATTAATGGGTATCTGAAGGACTGGCGGATTTTGACACATTGAAAGTTAAAATTGTACACCACAGAAAATGATTCGTTGTTATAGAGCACCAAAACCAAATTGAATGGGTTTAATCGATTATGTTTCATAGCATTTCTTTCTAAATTTTTATCTGTGATGGACTAATACAATTGAACTCCGTTCAACATTTTGTCAACGGATACAACGATAGATCGGTAGGGTCATTTAAACTTCATAAATTCGCGATTTCATCTTCATGAATTCCCGACTTAAAATTCACGAATGTACAATATTAACCTCATGAATTCACTATTTCAATTTAAAAAAATACGTTTTTTACTTCATGAGTATTTACATTTCAACTTCCCTTATTCAACTTCAAGAATTCACGATTTCAACTTCAAGAGTTCAAGATTTCAAATCCATGAAGTCACGATTTCAACTTCACATATTAATGATTTTATGAATGAAGTGGAAATTGAGAATTTGTAAGGATGAAATAATGAAGTCACGAAGTTGAATTTGTGAAGTTGAAATCGTGAAAATTTGGTAAGCCTGTTATGGGCCAAAATTATGAATTTGAAAAGATTTTTGAACTGTGAAAGCATTTTGTATTGTAGTTTTGTGGTGCTCAGTATACTAAGATTATAAGCACGTGTCTGTCGGTGTTATAGTGGATATTGTCAACCTTTGATATGTCGTATTACCTCTCT